AGAGTTGTACTAGTTGTCGTTGCATTCAGTCGCTTTTTTTAAAAAAAATAACTTGATTTGTGTCTTTGTTGGCTTGTCACTGTAAGTTTTTATTTTAAACCTGGAAACATCAAATCCGCCCAAGCGGGAGAGAATGTTTCTGAAATGCAGTAATATTGTGATCATTTTCTGTAAACAACAGCTTTTTTAATAATTGATCGAATTGTCCAACACAATGCATTGAGAATAACTTGGTGAGTGGAGTCCTTGCTGAATTCTGATGCTTTGAAACTGGGCTGAAGGGGAAGAAAAGTGGAGAATACAACTTAGCTATTGCTCAGGCCGTGCGTGGATTGCATTCTATTGTTTGAACATAAACTATCCATCACCGTGAAGAGGTTCTGTAGCCGACATAGCTGAAGTCCTGCAGCTGTGTTTTAAAGCAAGCCTATCTGGACTGAGTCCAGGCCTGTTCACTAGAGGGTCTTATTGAAGTTACTTATAAGAACAGCGCACTAAGCTGAATGAGCAACAAATTATATATTTGTTTATTTTTGGTCAAAATTAGATGGTAGGAGACGATACGAGAAGAATTGGAATGTGAACTAAATAGTGGGATGCTTTTTTCCACATATGTCATTTAGCTATTATGCCAATTAGGCTAATATGCTGCTTTGTAATAAACTGCCAAGTCATCTGTGTGGTTATTGAGAAATAAACCAGAAGAGTAATTTGGAAATTTGCAGCAGTTGATCAACAATAACAAATTGCATTTATTATATAGCACTTTTCACATCGGGAGGACGTCCCATCCAGACAGGCGAGGCTTTGCACCTATGCTGGAGGTTGGATTCAAGCGGGGTGGAGGCCAAAGGGGATGGGGGTGGGAAGATGATAGACAGCACGGTCAAAGAGGAAGGTATGAAACAGACCTTGAAGGAAGAAATGGAGGTGGCCAGGTGAAGGGATTCCGGGATGGAGTTTCAGCGGATGGGGGTAGACCCCTGATGGGGGGGTCGGCAGGGCAGGGCTGGGGACATGAAGCAAGTCAGTGACTGCTGAGTAGTGGGGTTGGGTTTGTAAGGTTTAGCAAGTCACAGAGGTTGGGTGGGACAAGACCATGGAAGGCTTTAAAAGTGAGGACGAAGTCACATATGATCCTTCATCAATAAACCCTGGTCTTTTATGATGCTGTATTAAATGTGAGAGTATTGCATTTCCTCTTTACCCTTCAGGGGAATGATTGAGGGAAAAAAGTAATTGCATGGCATTGTGTTGGTGCATTTCTTGTTAGAGAGGCCATAAAAAACTGCTTGACTGACTGGAGCCAGTATTGGTAGCTTTCAGAACCATGTCAGGTTAGATATAAAAATATTTGATTCCTACCAAATACTGTCGAAATAACCTTTTTTTTGTGAATAGCTAAAGATAAACAAACAGGCTTATCTGCTGTATGTTGAGTCTGTGCAGCAAAATTGCGAATGCATTCTATTTTACCAAAGTTTTTTGATGTTTGAAGAGTATTTCAAACCCTGGCAGCTATGTGGTTGTAGCTACTTGGTTATAGCTGGTCAGTATCCAGCAGTTACCCCAACGCACACTCCCGAGTACCCAAGCCTTGGCTCTTGACAAACTGCGCCTAATACTTTACAGATTTAGGAGAGCAGGATGCATCCCTGCCAGGAGAGAGTGTGCCTTCCATTCCAACAATCTATCCCTGGAATTTTTATGTGTAGGTGGGATGCATGGAACTCTTCGTTTTGGTTTGGATACTCTTAAGCGTGGTGATGGATTTCTGCATGTGTTAAGACACCAGACTGACCAAAAATAAAAGGTTGTATGTTGTAATTTAATGTTGGTGGACGGCGGTAGGTGGACTTATTTTTGTCCTTCTGACCCGAAGCACAGGATGCATGATGCGCTGTTTAAGCTTTTCACCTTGGTCTTCTGAATTGCGTCTGGGGCCTTGCATTGAATGAAATGACATCACCCAGCACAGGAATTTACAATTTTGAGAGGGAATTTTGTGTTATTTTGTTTTATTCATTAAAAATGTTTTATTTCTTTTTATTTGCATTAATAAAATATTTTATTCCCTTAGTCAAATTCTGTTTTAAAATACATATATTTCTTGCTTCTATATTATTTAACCTTTTAGTATCTTCCCCCTTGAACAGGTAGGTCCTGGCTAGAGGAGAAAGCCTAGCCAGTCCTCAGAGCAGTTGCACCCATGTGCCCCCTCTTACATTTTCAGACAACTTAACTTCAAATGTAACCACATTTGATAGATCAGCTTCTCAACCAAATGTTTCCTTTACGTAGGTACCTTTCTTGAGCATTTCATTATCAGTACATGTTCCCACCCATAACTTTAGTTTCTCTGCCTTTCATGGACAAACTTTAATCCCATTTCATAAGCCTTGCAGACAAAGTGGTCAGTGGTTCATTGTGGCTATCTGACACAAGGCCAGTTACGAATGCATCATCTCATTGTGGAATTCACCACCTACACTGCAAACTGGATTCCATATCCCTGGAACAGTGTGCGTGTGTGTAATTGTTTGGTGGTCACTATTTCTGCCTTCTGGTTGGTGGGTCTTCCCTGGAGTCTGTGCATAGTCACGTACAGTTGGCTTGTCTGTGTGGTGCACGAGCTGAGTGCTCAGTCTATTCACGCGTGGAAATCAAAGGGTGACTCACAAGGACAGACGATTAAGCGTAGCATTTATATTGCCCCCAGTGTGACTGGGATTTTGGAAAACCCATAGGAGGGGAGGAGGGAGTTCCCTGCTCCTCAGAAGACGGAGGCAGCATCACATTGCTGTTTTATAGCACTGCTGAAGGCTATCAACAGTGGCAGCTTTATGAGATAAGCGATGAAATGTGGGTGAGGCACAAAATTTGGAAACATGAGAGTTGGCAGATGTTGCTTGCCGACCTCTCCTACTCCACCTTTCACAAGCTACAGATCATTCAGAGCTGCAGAGTCCGTCCGCCTTCTCTTGCACACCAATCTCCGGGAACCCACCACCCCAGCCTTGCCTGACTCCACTTGCTCCCTATCCCCAAACCCCATCTCATTTCTTTGAGATGGTCGATGTAAAAAGCATATTTAAGTGAAAGTTGTTTTGGATGTTGTTGTTGGCAGAGAAATGTGTTTGGGTTGGCAACAAAATAGGATTGACTCAAATATATTAAAATATTCTTGATATTTTAACATGCATGTTCAGTTTATTGTTTAAGAAGGACTTTGGTGTTTGTTTTTAAAAATCCGTAATTAAGCTGTGATATGATTTGAGGTTTAGTTGCTGGTCAGTCAGTTTTTGCAGCAGCAAATTGAACGTGGCAGGTTAAATGGGCATTATTCAATACAGTGAAACTCACAAGTTGTATCAATCAGGATCATAGCATTTATCATGGCTTACGCCAAGTCTGAGCCGCAGGCAAACTGTACAAGTTGTATAAAATCCGGTTTAACCAATCTACACTGTGTACGAGTAATTCAGTGCAGCCGGTAAGTGCGCATGCGGGACTTCACCACTACAGCTACTATGTGTGCATGCGGTGACGAGTCAAGACTACGTTGCCCGTAGACATGGGGGGCAACTTCCACGTGTATGCGAATGACAGCCACCTGTACCTCTCTGCTGGTGCAATTTTCACAACTGGTACGGTTACCAAGGCATTTCCTACTATCTTGTGCAGATGGTATTCACCAGTTCTGAAAGAAATCTTGTTCATGCCCAACTGTGTCGTGCTCCGCCATTGTGGAGCGCTCTGATACACTAGGGGTGCTGTGTAAATGCAAGTTATTGTTGGAAGCTTTCTTTGAACACTAAATATTGACCAAGATTTAAATACTTGGGACTTATTTATTGTTCTTGAAAGTATGAAGTTTCCTCGGGTCCCCTTGAAGCTCTGGGACAGTACGTGCTGTTATACACTGCAGAAGTAATTATCTTGTTTATTTTTAAGGCATTTATGTCATGTTGCGTGCTGATTCAGCTAATGACCGGTGCAATTTTCACAACTGGCAAAGTTACCAAGGCATTTCCTGCTATCTTGTGTAGTGGTAGTCACCAGTTCTGAAAGAAATCTTGTTCACTACTTTTAAGGTTATGCACCTCTCCTTTAACGTTTGCATTTGATATAGCATTTAATCATGTAGTTGAGATGTCTCAAAGTACTTCACAGAATATTCTGTAAAGTGGATTGACTGTGGATTTTGTGGGCGAAACACGGCAGCTAATTGTGCACAGCAGTGTCCTACAAACAGTCGTGGATTGAGTGTCCAATATTTTTAAGGGATTATTGCCCCAGAAAGCGATCAGCCAATCGACTAACAACCATGTTCCTACTTAATGCTAGGTGAACTGAGGCGTGTGGAGTAAGGAAACTTGCCTATGGTTTCACCTTGTCAGGAATCGAACGTGGGTCCTCTCGCTTGAGGCGAGTGTTCTAACCGCTAAGCCACAGGTCACCCAGCCCATCAACTTTGTCCCTCTGAGAAATGTACACGAAGGACACTTGATTCCCTTCCTTTTTTTGTTGTCTTTCAGCTCCGCTTCTCTTGGAGTTTAGCCTTAGCTCTGAACCTTTCACCGGGTACAGCTCAGCTGAGAGGATCTCTTCTGGATGCAATTTTAGAAAAGTTTTCGTATCTGCCAACCAGTGCTCAGACTTAATGTCACACTAATCGCCTGTGTTGTTGTTGGCCTTCTGTTATAGAATATGTCTATGCAATTGGTATTTTGCACCTCTTTGGAAGTCGACTTGGTTTAAATTTTGTTGCTAACTTAATGCTTATAAGGTTATACAAATACAAGGTCATCTTGCATTGCTTATGTAGCTTGGGTGTGCAGCTGCAGTGAAAAATAGGTCGCACATCAGTGTAAATGGTTCATTATGTGCTGCATACGTATGCATTGGCAGGTTGGAAATGACACTCGCAACAATATGAATGCACATTTTCCTGACAAGTTATCCCTGGCCTAATTATTTTCATTTCTCTTTGTTTGTAGCTCAACAAATCGGCCCACTGCGGAGGCCTTATATTTTCAGCCCCCAATGCTGGATTTTGGTATACAGTAAGTGCTATTTATTTGTTTAAAATGTTATTATAATTCCTGAGAAATGAGTGGTAACAGATTTTAGCTCTGTAAATGTGGAGCAGATGATCTTTGAAATCTTTACAGCACGTAAACCGACCATTCAGCCCATCAAGTCAGCAGCCAGATGGTGTTTATCTCCACATGAACCATGGATTATATTTCCACTCTTGTGCACTCCATATATCCTTGAACATTTTTTTTGTTTTTAAGAGCATCTATTCAAATTCCCTTTTAAAATTTATGAACTCTGCTTCTAATGCAAATAGTGTGCTGTGTGACACTTTTCAAAAAGAGAAGAGTTTCTCCAGGTATCCTGGCCAACAATTCCCCCAAATAAAATTGGTCATTCATTTCATGGTTGTTTTTGAGACGTTAGTGTGTGTAAATTGGCTGCTGCATTTACCTACAATACACACAGTCAGTACACTTTACGGTATATGCTGTGAAATGCTTTGGAACATCCTCCCGCATGTAAGGCACTGTACCTGAATGTGTCATGGCGAAATTAAGGCAAGTTTCCTTACTCCCACTCCGTCTGTTCACCTAGCAATAAGCAGGAATCTAGTTGTTAGTCAACTAACGAATCGCTCTCCTCTCTGGGGGCAATAATTCTTTTTTTTTTTTTAAAATGCTCAAAATACTTGTCAACAATCTCCCCAGTAAATTGGTCACTCACTCCCTGGCTGTTTGTGGGACACTGCTGTGCACAATGGCTGCCACGTTTCTCCCACAAAATAGGCAGCCACTTCACTATATTCTGTGAAGTGCTTTGAGATGTCTTACCGACATAAGGTGCTATATCAAAAGCAAGTATTATTACCAAATAATAATTTATTACCAAATGTAAAGATTATTATTATCTTGTACTTGTTCAATTCAATCCCATTCGATTACAATCATAATTGATAACGTGCTCTTAATTAAAACACCTGAGCATCACAATCTGACTTGCGTGTGTATTGAAGCACAATGCAGATAGTTGAGCATAAGGGCAGTTAGTGTGCAGCAGGTCATGTGAGTTTTGGCAAGACACCGGGAGAAACTTCCTTCTCTTTTCCGATATGGAATCTTTAATATCCAACTGAAGAGGTAACTAGGTTTAACATTGCAACTGAAGGGCAACACCTCTGATAATGCATACCCCCAATACTGCACTGGATTGTTAGCGTGGACTATGTGAGTTCAAAATCCTGACGTGAGACTTTGACCTAACTTTCTGACTGTGGGGCAAGAGTGCTATCATTGAGCGAGGATGGCATATGGTTAGAAGATGATATGGGTTGTTTCTCTGAGTTGATCTTATCAGTATCTTGGTGTGTTACAAAAATGCAAGTTCTAGCATCACTGCTTATTTATTAATGAATGTCTTCCAGTAATTATTTTGATTAGTTGAAGGAAGTTTTACATATTTGTTATAAAACTAATATTAGTTTATTTAGCTGGTTCCCTGGTAATTTCCAAGTGATTTTGGTTTACTTTTATGACTTTAAAAGTGCAATTATGTGTAATGTACTTAAATGCAATGTTTTGTTTTTAGGTTCCTCTTTGGCAAATTATTTTCATGAGCTGTTTAAATCTTTCCCTTTGCATTCAATCTACTTTCAACTAAGGGAATGGGCAGAGATCCAATACTCTGTCTGTTGCTCTTGGCTTTTTCTACCCTATTCTCCAGGGAAATCCTTACACACATGGTTTGCTATGTAGGGAATTGCAGTGAAAACCTGTATAGACTATCACTGCGTGTGAGATTTATTTGAAGTTTTCACTTGCCGCTGTGTTTTAAATGACCAGCTAAATCTTCTAGCACAGTCCTGATTTAGTTTGTGCATAAGTAATCAATCTTGAAAAAAAATTGCAATCTTGCTTGTTTCAGTATGTTTATTTTTAAAACACTGGCATGGTTAAACTTCTAAGAATGAACATGCTATTTTGATAGAAACCAGTCAAAACCATCTCCGGGAGTTTCAATTTTACAGTGGTTACTGTCAAGTGTAGTGACAATGTATTTTGTAGGTAAATCTGGGACACAGCGAGCTCTCACAGCCATGTGGTGACTGACCAACCAATTTTTCTGGAAGATTGTTGACTAAGGCGTTAAGAGAAACTTCATTTTGTGTCACACAATCTCGTGTTCATGTGAAGAACAGACAAAGTCCCATCCAAAGGAAGGCACCTCTGATAATGCAGTGTTCCCTACCACTGCTCTACAGCCTAGACTGAGAGCTCCAAATCTACACCATTCTGATCCACAGAAGAGAGTGCTACCAATGGAGCTCATTATCAAAACTGTTTTTGCTGAACAAAAGTGGCTAGAAATAACCCAAATAGTGTGTGAATGTGGAATGCAGTGGCCACAAGACAATATATCAAAAATATTCAAGAAGGAAGTGAATAACTAGATTCTTGGAAATGAAGCATATGAAAAGCTCCAACAATCTAGTAAACTGGTTGAGCAAGTTCATCGGGCCAAGTTACTCCTGTTGCTTATGTTCTACCATTTATCTGCTTCAGATCTTTGTTCGTTTCCAGCAGTGGGATAAGATTGTACAGAGGAATTTATTTCTACAAATATAGAAACCTAAGAGTTTTAATTGTGTGCTGATCCAGCAATATAAAAATGTTTAAAATACTAGCAATCTTTTTTTTAGTTTGGGTAGAATTGGATTTGCCATGGTATGATTATATCGTACCATGGAATTAGTATTTCTGCAGTGTTGGTTATCTTGGATCACTTTGTATTTGCACATTGTTTGAGATGTACAGTGAACTAAATGCCTGACTGATTTCTTTGTTTTGTTTTCTCTTTCTCTCTGTGTTTGTTCCTCCCTGCCCCCACCCTCTTCCTCCCCATTCCTAGGCAAGTGGAGTTGCCCAAAGTCGAGGAGTTTTTTATTCACAATCCTAGCTGGGAGTTGCCCGTGACGTTGGTTTCAGGGCTGGCCTCCAGTAGACATTTTCACATGCCTTCTATACATGGCAGGGTAAGTGTTCATAAGACAGCTCCTGACTGATTCTGAGGTGTGCAGTGTTATCATAACATGAAAAACTGCTGGTTGCAGAAAAAGATGGACAATGATAATCACCACCAAAAACCTCTTTTTCTTCTTATCTCTGTGAAGGAAATAGTGAGTTATTCAGCAGTTATTGAACAGGGGGGAAAAAAACATTTATGACTCCCTAGTTATTTCACAACATACAGCCACGTGGTTACTTCACTGCTTCCCATCCTTGGCATTGCCACCGACTTCCACAAGACAGGTTGCAATGATTAGATATTAGATATTAGATTGGATGTGGGTGAAATGCAAACAAATCCACTATACCTCATATATTGGGTATTTTTCTAGTGAAGGATTTCCATAGTTGGATTGGTAATGCAAGGATTATAGGAATTAAGTGAGGGGGGAATTATCATTTTTCTTTTTCTCCCTCTTATCTAAGGACAATTAATCTTAATGATGTTTTGAGGTTGGGTATATGTCTAATCACTCACTCTCTCCAGAAACAAAACTACCATTCTTGGTGAAAATGATCTTTGGCCTTAATTTGATAATAAATTAACCAATTCATTTTGGGGATGTTGGGTTTCAATTTCCTGGAAGAGAATGTAAGTTTGTAATATTTTAGTTAATAGTTTACTTTAGTTGATACAGATAGGAAAATGTCATAGAAAGAGGCAGAAAAATAAAGATTCAGAGAGAAAGATAGAGTGAGGAAGTGACGAAGAGAGATTTTAACAAATTTTTTTTGTTAATTTACTTTCCTCTTTTCCTCTTTTTTCACATCCAAAATAAACCCTGAAAAATATTCAGTCCCCTCCCCTTCTGCTTGGTGCAGAAGGTATAGATTGGGGGTTAAAAGCTTACTCTGTGGGGAAACCTTGAGGCAAAAACAATGCTAGAATGCTCTGTTGAGCTTTAATAAAATGTGTTTGAAATAGCTACATAATTCAGAAACTTTGGAATGCTTGTACAAGGTTTGCTTGTACTAACCCAAGTTCTGGCCTTACCAGAGTATCATTGGGAATTTCTCTGCTCTTGCCTTCTGTCGTTCCATCATAGAATTTGGTCATATTTGGGTGTTCATTAATTAAAAGTAAATTAGCAACATTTTCTTAATTGACTATATTTTACAAATATGACAATGCAAAGGCTGATTACAGGAAAAACATTTTTTATCTTGATATTTAATAATTCTTGCATTGATATAGTGCCTTACCATGGCATCGCGACATTGCAAAACTTGATTGGCAAGGTCACTTGTCATGATTATGCCATTTTGCACATAGCAATGTCCCACAAACAGCCATGGAATGAATGACCGATTTTTATCTTGGGGATTGTTGGCCAAGACAATGAGGGAATCATCTCTCACTTTTTTAACAAAGTCCATTTGAACGGGCAGTCAGTACCTCGGTTTAACATGTCATCTGAAGTAGGGTACTTTCAACAGTGCAGCACATTACTGAGCCATGATGAAACCAGTTTCTTCTTCCCATCCCAGCTTAATATTACCTGTTGTATTGTAACAAAATAGGTTCCCAATTTAGGGCATTCTCATGTTGGGGCCTGTACTCTGCTCTGTCACTAGCTTCTTGCAGTTGCGGAGGTATATCGTGACTTTATCTCCTTGAAAATGTGGCTAAGTTTGGACATTAACACTATGGAGCACTGAATTTATTAACTGCATCAACAAGTCTCCTTTTTCTATTTCCCTCAGTCTCCTCTCCCCAGAACTGTATGCAGTATTGCTAACTGGTTCTGTGAATTTAGCTGGAAACTGAAGCTCGACAATGTGTGTGTGTTTGTGTGTGTGGGAAAAGATACCTGGCTTGAAAATCTACAAACCTTGCTTTGATTGTGTTTGCAAATGCCACTTATAAAATGTTTTCATGCTTATTTTTCTGGTTCATCAATGTTATCACAAGACTTGCTGTGCCCAGCATTTTAATTTGTTTTCTTTTCACATACTGTTTGAGAAAATTTGTCTACATCCTAAATTACTTGGCTTTTTTCAACTAAGGGAATTGGCCACATTATACAAAAGAATGATTGTTTTTTTTAAATAAAAAAATCATATTAACCTTTATAACCCATTACTTGCTGTATGAGGTATTAATGATGCAGGTAATGGTCTTTTCAGAAGGAAAAAAATACCAATTCGCATTTATATAGTGCCATTTATATAATGCCTTCCACATTGGGAGAAATTCCCAAGGCACTTAATAATCCCGTCTTGGAACCAGAGCTGGGGGGGTGAAATGATAGCCATTGTAGTGTTTGAACTATATGTAAAAACTTTACGCGTGTGTATGTATATGATGCATGAACTTGAATCATCCTCTTATCACACATATTTCCTCTCCACATGTTTGTTCCTCCAGATAATTCCAGCAGGGGAGAAAATTCTGTTTAGAATCATCTTCCTTCCTACAGAAGAAGGCAGAGTAGAAAGTTCTTTATTTATAAATACTTCAACCCATGGGATTCTTGTATATCAGGTTAGTTTTTTTGGAGTATGATGGACTTGAATAGAAATAGGTGGGTGTGGGTTGTTTTGGAGAGCTCGCTGAAAATCCCTATGCAGAATACACACTGAAGTGCAGAGATAGCATTCTTATGGTGTATAACAAATCTAATGAAACGTTAGCTCCTAGTCCACGCTAGCACTCCTGTGTAATACGGTCCCGGGTTATTGCTACGTTGTTCGAGGTGGTGTTTGTTCGGATGGACACTAAAAAATTCTTTGACACTGATTGGAAAAGCAGTTTATAACATATTCCTTGCATTTCATATAGCGCCTCATCACATCGTGAAAGTCTCAAAGTGCTTCACAGAATTTTACTCTGAAATTTATTATTTGTAGACAAACGCAGCAGCCAATTTGCACACAGCCCCACAAACAGCCATGAATTTTATTTGGGGCATTGTTGGCCAGGACACCGGGAGAAAATCCGTTCTCTTTTTGAATAGCGCCATGGGATCTTTAAAGTTCAATGTCTTGGTTTAACGTCTCATCTGCAGGACGGCACCTCTGACAATGTGGCACCCCCGAAACACAGCACAGGAGTATCAGCTTAGATTCTCCTGGTGTCCCACATTCGGTTCATTGGGAAGGGTGGTGACTAGGGTGATGTTCTGGCCTTGTGAACTGAAAGAATAGCTGGTAAAATTGGTAAAAATATTTATTGTGTAACAGTACCCATTTATACGTGGGTAGCTGAGGGTGCTTGGATATTTCGGGTGCCTTTGAGTACATCTGACATCAATAAAAGTCTGCTTTCTCACTTCATTTTCATTTTTTTTAAAAATGCTAGTCAAGATGTTCTTTTCTTTGTTTATAAATTCAGATTCTATACTGACCTGTGAAAATGAAAGCTGTACTTGTGTCTTGTGACTCAATTACGGGAACTCCCTCCTCATCGGCCTTCCCAACTCTTTTCTTCACAAGCTGCAGATCATCCAAAACTCTGCAGCTCGTGTCCTCTCACGCACCAGGCTCCGCGACCCCATCACTCCCACCCTCGCCCAACTTCACTGGCTCCCCATCCCCCAGAGGATCAAGTTCAAGATCCTTGTCCTCACCTTTAAGGCCATCCATGGCCTTGCCCCCTCCTACCTCTCTGACCTGCTGACTCCCTACCAACCTGCCCACTCCCTTCGTTCAGCGGGCTCCAGCCTACTCCATGTCTCCCGCCCGACCCGCCCTACCATCGGTGGCCGGGCTTTCTGCCTCTCTGCCCCACACTCTGGAACTCCATCCCATGATCCCTTTGCCTCACTTCCTCCCTTGCCTCCCTCAAGGCCAGGCTCAAGATCCTTCTCTTCGACCGTGCCTTAGGTCGCCCTCCCACCTCTCTGCCTTCCCTCACCCCTACACCACCCCTCCCCCACGCTCAAGTCCCGACACCTGACTGTTCAGCGCTTTGGACGTCCTCCCGACGTGAAAGGCGCTCTATAAATATCATTTTGTTGTTGTTGTTGATGTGCTTGATCTCACGTCTTTAAACTAAAAACACATTTTTTTCCAAGATGTTTGGTGTTGGTGTTCCCAGCAGTCAGGTAGCAGTAGATGATCAAGATCACTTCAATGCCAAACCTGTACTGTTTCCATATATCCAAAAGGTTCAGTTAACACATCTTCAGGTGGGTGCCTGGTTCTCTGACCTGTCTTGATTATTTGACCAAAACTTTAGCAATCTGTAATTTATTACTCTTATCGCAAAGATAACTTCCTTTTTTCTTTGTGTGCATATTTATTTCATAGCCATCCATTTACAGAGCTGAAATACTTATTTTTATGTGTTGCATTTTGTCACCTAGTGGAAATTAATATATTTTTAAAAATCTCGGTACTAGAGTAATTCTAACCTGACTGATTGCTTATAATAGAGTTAGTAGTATTCCTATGCATCCCAAATCTTGATGCTACATTTGTATTGCGTGTTTGGAAGAAAATAGCCGTGCTTTTAGTGGTCGAATCTGACAAATATGCCGAATAAATGGGTGAATCTTGTGTGTGATTGGAGTGAGGCTCATGCCCCCATGGGAGGAGGTGGTTTCAGGAGCAGAATGATTTGCATACATTACGGTATGAACATAACTGATGTGAATTGTGCTGGTTTCTTCCCACTGCTGTCCATTGAAGGTTCTTTGGCAAGGAGGCCAAGAGCTCTCTGGGTTTAGTTTTCTGATGCTGGTGGATCGCGGGATTCGCTTTTTAGTAACATTTTAGACCAAAAATATTTTAGTTTGGATGTTTTAAGTTTTTTTTAATCCTCATGGACAGTAATATGATGTGGAGGGTGAAGAAGTATAAACAAGGCTCTACTCCACATCTCTATAAAGCAGGGAGCAAATATGTACCCTGCACGTTTCCCCTATTGTTTAGTGCGTAACAGCACCTCCTACTGTACACCGAGCCATTGATTGACTGGAAGGTCACAGTTTTGGATACTGATCTGTAATGAGTTAGTTTATTGCAGATGGGGCAGCAGTGAGGTTTAGAGAAGGGAAAATTGGTCAGGGTTCCTGCTCCCGATTACTATCTGCTGACTCCTGCTGAAAAGTGTGATCCTCCCGATCCAGTAAAGTGAATGCGCTCAGCCTTCTTTATCCTAGTTGTATATGCTGCTGTGACTTGCTCTCTACAATCGCCACTGAAGGGCCACTTTGCCTGTGGAGCTCTTACCCTAGAAACAGTCAGCACACTTAGGAGGGGAGAGAATCGACTTCTTAAAGAGGCTGATTTGCATATGGAGCACTACAGAATTGGAAAACCAATGTTCTTGCCACATTTTCATGTTTGTATTTATCTGCCTAGGAAAACACTGTGAATTGCAGCCTGTTCGAGCTGCATTTTGAGCTTTCTCTGCCATTACACGTCTATCAAAACCTCCAGGTATGTCAGTTTGGCTATATGGATGAGGCTTTGTCTTGGTGGTTTTGTATTTGATATGTGCAAGCTACAGTTTGAAACTAAATTGAATTAGGTGCAAATACCAGTTTATAATAATAATCCTTGCATTTGATATAGCCAGATGTCTCAAAGTGCTTCACAGAATATACTGTAAAGTGAATTTTACTAAGACCAAATTGAATTTTGAAGTGTGGATTGCCTGTTGGATCGAGTGGAACAGCCATTCTAAAGCTGATCTGTGACATTGTATGTGTAGAGGCCAATTTGTGAAATGTTCCACTTCAATTGCAAGACCTTGCCTTTGTATTCATGCTTTTGAATTGTCTGAATCATGGGGCTAGATTGAGTAAACATTGGCTGTGCTAAGTGGTACATTGTGTAGTAAAGAAAAAGTTCTGCAGTAGGTGGCCTAACCTATTTGCCCTGCTAGGAACTGAACACTCCGCCTCTGTGCATTACAGTAGTGTGTGCGTCTTAATTGTGTGAGTGTTTTGCTGGATTGTTCTTCTGTTCAGCCAAATTCTCCATATGGGCAGATATTTGTGACACTCATGGTAACAGTTTCAGTCAGGAAATGACCGCTTTCTTTTGTTCCTCTGTTGTGTTGGAGAGTTCAAACTTCCACTTCTGATCTTCCCAGTGTACGTGGTCGAGAGTGAGAAGAGGTTTTACTGAGAGCTCTTATAGTGCCTCAACATTCTGCAGTTTTTATAAAACACAAGTATGTGCCCTTTTGGGATGGGGAGGGGAAGAAGAGAAAGGAGGGGCGTTATTCTGCTACATGTGTTCATTAGTGATAACTCATTGACTCATGCAGTTGCTGCGATACAGTGCTGACAGTCACATACTGAAATAAAATGGAACAGAGAGGGGGTGAGAGGTAAAAGGAAATCTCTTGATGAAATCAAGATTAACATCTAGATTTGGAATCACTCAGCCCTTCAACCTTTTGCAGTTGGCTTAACAACAACAAAATCACAATTGTATAGCGCCTTTCATATTCGGGAGAACCTCCCATGTCGCTGGACCGACAGAGGTTCGTACCCAAGCTGGGGGTCGTGATCGGAGAGGGTGGAGGCAGGGAGGTAAGCAGGGAGATCGAAAGCACGGTCGAAGAGGAGGGTCTTGAGCTAGGTCTTGAAGAAGGCAAGCGAGGGGGCGAGGCGGAGGGACTGCGGGATGGAGTACCAGAGAATTGCGGCAAAGTGGCAAAAGGCCCGCCAATAGTGGAGCGAACAAGGTGGGGGATGTGAAACATTGTGCCTAGTGGTGTCTGTTTATGTACAAAATAAAAGATGAAGGTGATACCTCATGAGTTGGTTTTGAACTTGTAACTGGATCAACACATGTGTTCGATTCACTTCTGGTTTTAATGCTTTATGTCACAGCATGATGTTTATATCTAATTTGCATGAGGAAAAGTAGTGCAGGCACAGGTCATGAAATGTTAGCAGACAAATGAAATATCAATTTACCTACTCATAACGTAAGAATGAAATACTTAGAATAGGCTCCTGATAGCACTTGTACCATACAATTTACACTTCCATCGTGCCTTTCACGTCGGGAAGATGTTTCAAAGTGTTTGTCATTAACCGATTCTCATTTTAGGGGGTTTAGGGATTGAAGCATTTAGATTTTGCCTTGTAGATGTGGCTGTTGTGTCCAATCCATTTTATTTAACAACTTGCATTTATATAGAGCCCTTCACGGGCGGTAGTGTCTTAGAGCACTTTTACCTCACTTTTAACTATCCATAAAAACCTTTTCTAGAATGTTTGCTTGAATCCACGCTGAGCTTTTTCTTGGGGATTCCAATCATCAGGAAGTTCCCTCTTTTCCCACCACTTGGTGGAAATCCCTCCTTCCTGGATCCATCTAGGTGGATTCCCACGGCCCCTGGTTTTTCCAGTGAGGTACCAAGGGAATGATTAAATGGAAAGATCTGTCTTTGTAGCAGGAATGGGGGCCACTGCAGGTCACCAAGACCGATGGAATTCAACATAGGCAATGACTGAGAGAGTGGTGGTGGGGGGTGGGGTGTGTGTTGGTGGGGTGGGGAGGAAGGAGGAAGTGGTTGCAGGGGTTATTTACACAGAGGAATGGAAGCGCAGAATGGAAAGGTATTGTAGGGGAAAACCATCTGTTCTCAGAAATAGTTACAAACCCTCTGATTGAAGCTTGCTGTTACCACAGCTTCTAGGCAGCGGTTTGAATTGCTCAGGTTTATTGTTCCAACCCGAAAGATGCTATACATGTGTAAACTGATACATTTTCATGTATTCCTATGCTGGACTCGTGTTGCTGTGCATTTTGTGCTCAAAATCACAAACCTTAATTCTCACAATCTCAATAATTGTGGAGTCCTGTAGCTCAACGGTTAGAGTATTCGCCTCGCAAGTGAGAGACCTGGGTTTGATTCCCGGCTGGGCGAAACATTGGCCAAGTTTCCTTACTCCACACACCTTTGTTTAGCTAACAGTAAGTAGGAACCCAGTTATTAGTTATTGGCTGATCACTTTTCCGAGGTAATAATTCCTTCAAATATAATAATAAATTGGTCACTCAATCCACGACTGTTTGAGGATTCTTTGTGTGCAGTTGGCTGCCGTGTTTCGCCCACAAAGATTACAGTCAATTCACTTTACAGTATATTCTGTGAAGTGCTTTGAGAGGTCTTGAAGACGTGATAAGGTGCTAATTCTCTAACACAGTAGTAGTAAACCTGTGGGTCTCTTAACACGGTACTGAATTATCCTAGATATCAATGTCATTCGTGGAGGCTGATCTCTGAAATACGCAATAGAGCTTGGGATGGGTTAAACTTAATGTTTAAATTGGCATCTTAATCACACAAACGCCACAATGTAATTGAATAAACCGTTACACTATTGACGAGGCAAACCAAAATCCGACGCCGTTGCGCATTCTATTTAAAAATCGACACCTAGGTTCGAGTCTGGAATTGTTGACAATGTCGAGTTCTGCTTGGCTGAATCTTAAAGCTTACAATCGTAAACGCAGTGTTCATGCTCAATGCTTGTCATTTGATTTGTTTGACCTTGTGCTGGGCAACAAAGCTTGTTTTAAATATTTGCGCATTGATGTTTGGAAATTGTACCATATCCTTCACTGTGTAATCTTTTACTCTTTGTTACAGGGGTTTTGCCTGTTGAGCAGCAATAAGCTTGTATTATACGTCCACTTCTCCCACAGCGCAGAAGGATGCTGTAACGAATTGGAAAAAATAAAGAGCTATTTATTAGAACATATTTTTGTACTTTTCATACCAGTTATTGCAGAAAGTACCTCAGGTTAGTATCATTTATTTCTTTCCCAACAACAAGACTACATTTGTATAGCGCCTTTCATGTCGGGAGGACATCCCAAGGCTCATGAAGATGAAGAGTATGGTGTTATTGAAATTGTTTCTGCCATGTATTCAATGTAGAAATAAAAAACTAGTATGTTTTTATGATGTCCACAGATTTATTTTATGGAGAGACCAGTTTCCTAGTGCAAGTCCACAATTAATCATAAAGTAATAAAATAATCCTTGCATTTGACACATTGCGGGGAAGTGTATTATTATTATTATAAAGTGCTTCACAGGATTTAATGTAAAGTGCAATGACTGGGTATTTTACAGTTGCAAAATTTCACATTTAAGTAAATTTAACTTTTAAGCTTTCTGTTTTTAGTATAGTAGACGTTTGTACAGGACTATGTATCCGACTGACACCCCTACACATACCTGCAATGTAACAATCAATGCACTAACATGAGGCCCTACACAGACCGTTTTGCTTTCCAGTTCAATAATGAGGCAACTCTGAACTAATTACCCTCCTACTCATCCTCCACGCCTGCCCACCATCCTTTTTTTCTGGTGGCTCAAGCACTGGTCTCAACCAGTTGGCAATTATTCTTAGCTATGGCTTAATGGTGAATGCAAGCCATTTGACCGCAGAACCATTGCAGCCGAGCTGCAATGTTCCGGAGTCTCTGGCTAGCCATCATGTCTGGTTTCTCTCCCTAAACTGTTTGTGAGGGCATTTGCAGCTCCATTTACTTTCCAGTTCATCCAAAATCTACTTCAGTCCTGGCAATTTAAGGTCTGTTGCATTGTGTTTTTTTTTCTGAAATGATTTCATTTGTTCTGATTTTCATTTTCTCTTTACAGGTGAACACAACATTATTATGTATATTTTGAATTCAGGGACCAAATCTTTATACATTAAGGTACTTTCAACAATGTTTCCAAGAAAAACTATGGCCGTGCTTCATTTTCACAATATTTTATGTTAGTAACTAAACTTGGCACCAAAAACATAGAGGAAGGTCTTTCTGCTGTGGCATTCTGAAACCTAGTGTGTACCAAGATGATCCTTTAAATGTTTTAAGTAATGTAAAACACTTTTTTTGTGCCTTATCTACTGTCTAATGCTACTTTTATTTCCTTCCTGCACCCTCTCCTTTTGTTTCCTTGGTTGCTGACCTTTCTTCATGTCCTCTGTTATCTATCTCTTACTGCTTGATTTGTGTATTTGGTTGTGGTTAGCGTCCTTTGTATCTCCTAGTAACTTATAATTGACTGCCCTCAATTGCATTTGCAATCGGATTTGCCTCAGTTGGGGCTCCTCGCCAGTAAAATTCCTGGTTCAAGCCAGTGCTATAATTAGTGGAGAAAAAGGTCTGAAGTTTTACAACTTTTATGATTGTTTTATGTGTATGTGTTTGGGAGCGGGAGGAGAGAGGGCAGAGAGAACATGATTGATGATTAGGAATAGGAAGCAAAAACAAAGCCTTAAAGTGGTATTCAGCACCCGACTGAGATTATATGTTTGTCTAAAGTAGACCATGCACACTTTTAATGCAGTTGCACAGGGTTTAAAGATTAATGTGTGCTTTTAAAAAGAATTCCATTCAGTTTGCACTTGACTTGAAAACTGAGTTGCTGTTTGGAAAGTCTTTATAGTTTCAATTTTGTACTGCCTGTGCTGGTAGTTTCACATGCTTCCCCACTTCATTATTATTGTTATTGATAATTAATAATCAGCGCATTTGATATGGTGGCTTTGATGTAATGAGGATGTCTCATCACTTCACAGGATTTACAGTGAAGTGTAGTGACTGTATTTGTAGGCAAGCATGGTAGCTAAATTGCGCACAGCAGGAGCAGCTATGAAGTGGTGTTTATTTCACATAATGCATCTTAAAACCAAAACATTAAACTATCCAAAGAATACTTGTCGCTGGATGAGATGACCTAAAGGCAAAAACAAAACTGAAAAATTGATCCATATTCAATCCATTCTTCTGTAAGTTATTTTAAAAACTGCAAAGTTGAGATTGGATTCAACAAATTGAGTGCAAAATGCTACATCAATAAAGTAATTCTAGACCATGGTGGAATTTCTCCCCATCGAGTAAATGTTTGAATGAGTAAACAACTATAGCCTAGTTGTGTGCTGTACAGTTCCAATTTGTTGCTTAAAAATGGGTAGAAATTTCTCTTATAGTTTAAATTAAACAACATTGAAGATGTGCTCTTACAATGGGGCAACGTTCAATGTTGCTGCACTTTACCAGAGTTTCTGGCTTAAGGACATCTGCTGCGCTATGGATATTCCATCTGTGATGAAGTTCTTCACATTGACTGTTTGTAATTGTCCAGTGTTGCACCTGTACCTGTGTGATGCTGTTGATTTGCTAATGAACTTACGCAGTTAGTTTTGCTCCTGTGCGTGGGAAAACCTTGCACGCTGGCTGTGCTGTTGATGCTCAAACAAGCACAGGGTATTAAATGTGCATTAAAATCCCTTGCAGAATTTTCACCTACTGTCTAGACCTGAAGACGCAGTCACTGTTAAGTTTGAGCCAATACTACTGAAGTCGTCTGCCACAAATCTTACCAAACTTGCTTCTATTAATTGTAATGGTAAGTATTCATTGAAATGTCCTGCTCCCTAGATTTGTGACTAGCCTTGACTACTGCATGTTTCTAGAATTTTGAAAAACTGGCTTCTAAATTGTGGCTGATTCAAAGCACCTTAATAAAGGTCTGTGGATGTGAGGGTGAAAGAATTGGTCTGGTGTCCGTTTCTACTGACTTGTTTTTTCTTTTTAAAATAGGACTATTAAATGCAAGTATTTACTGCAAAAATATATACAGTTTTAAGAACTCATATATTGTACCATTGAAAGAAAATGAGTGAGTCAGTCGTAAATGGTGTCTGCTTCACCCTCACATTCTGTTTAAAGGTGCCAGTTTTCTACAATTCTTCACAAGGTTTCTGATATAACAGTTCCCAAATTACGACTGTATGTAAGAATTTATCAAAATTTTAAGGCTGGTGCTCTTCAGACTAATACTATGAGAAATTTCCCGCCTCTGGTGAAGTGTGAAGTCATCCACCTCGGTAGCAAAATCAGTAGAGCGGGTTATTTTTTAGAAGGGGAGAGATTTGAATGTGTTAGCGTCCAGAGAGACTTGGGTGTCCTTGTACACCAATCACAGAAAGTTAGTCTACAGGTGCAGCAGCAATTAGGAAGGCGAACGGTATGTTAGCATTCATTATGAAAGGATTAGAGTATAAGAGTAGGTGCAACTGTATAGGGTCCTGGTGAGACCACACCTGGAATACTGTGTGTGGTTTTGGTCTCCTTATTTAAGGAAGGATGTACTTGCCTTGGAGGGGGTGCAGCGTAGATTTACAAGGTGAGTACCAGGGATGAAGGGGTTGAGTTACGAGGGTAGGCTGACCAATTTGGGCCTATATTCTCTAGAATATAGAAGAATTAGAGGGGATCTTATAGAAACCTATAAGATCATCAAAGGGCATGATAGAGTAGATAGTGGGAGATTGTTTCCCCTGGTTGGAGAAAATAAAACCAGGGGTCACAACCTTAAAATCAGAGGCCAGCCCTTTCGCACTGAATTGAGGAAGAACTTCTTCACTCAAAGGGTGGTGAATGTATGGAACTCACTACCCCAAAGGGCTGATGACGCTCAGTCCTTGAACGTATTCAAGACTGAGATAGATAGATTTCTTATTGCTAAAGGGATTAAGGGATATGGGGATCAGGCAGGGTCAGGTTATTAGCTGGAGTTAGATTAGAAGATCAGCCATGATTGAATGGCGAGGCAGGCTCGAAGGGCCGAATGGCCTACTCCTGCTCCTACATGTTTTGTTATGTTTCAATGTGTTGTTTCTAAAGGCGTCTGTAGTGGTACATTGTGAGTGTAAAAGTAAGTTTGTGTTGCTTTGTTTTTCAGCAAATGCTGTGCCTTTGAGTAGGACAAATTGCTCCAGTGAAGTGAATGTCATTAAAGGTAGCTTAGCACTGAAGATATTCCCTGCACTACAGCTGACTGAAGGGTGAGTTTCCTCTCAGTAGTTTGTTGTTCAGAACTTCAACATTCATTTGAGTGCCGCTCACTCAACAGAAGTTTTCCAAGCGCTTTACAGAATGAAATTAATTAGAAATTAAATGAATGTTGCCAAGGAGGAACGGTTTCAATTTAAAAATGTGTGCCACATGAGTGATATCTGTAGTGGTATTTCACTCCCGAAAGTCAAAAAGCTAATGTAATTTACACATCTAGAATGATCCAGATTAACAACCGGTAATGGGATATATTTATATTTGAAAATAGGTTTTAAATTTTTTCCAAAAGTGGCTGGTTGAGAGTTGGCTTTGTTCTCTGAGTGGGTAAAATGTTTCTAAGCAGACTGCTTCTCCAGTCAGAAACCTCCTTGCATGTTTCACTTCTGAGGAAGGAATCCTTTAGCATAAGATTCTGCTGTCATACCCACCATCTCTCTGCATTTCAGAGACTAAATGCTGAAGGATAAATACAAACATGATGCAAATTTTGAAGGTCATAAAATTTGACAATTTTGGGGTTGTTTCCATATTGTGATCTTTCACATGTTCAATGTTATCCCATTGATTTAGAGCCGTAAATCACCCTCCACCCTCCTCAAATCCTGTAAACCACCCTCCCCAATCCTGACCCGCAACTCGGGTCCGAAACACTGTCTGTCCAGCGCCTTGGGACGTCCTCTCAACGTGAAAAGCGCTATACAAATGTAATTTTGTTGTTGTGGAAGTGTTTGCCCAAATCCTTGTTTTCCAGGCTATTTAAGTTCTGTCCATTCTCATCTCTGTTTCTCTTCGTCATGGGTAGGTACCTTGGTTGTGATTTTTCCAATGAGATGTTTCAAGTGAAGCCAGAGCGTGGATCAGGACTCTGGACCATTTGGTTCACAAATAACTTCAAGTTCAGCATTCCAATAACAGACATTCGAGTACCAGCGGAGGCTGCACATGTATTGACAGTAAGGTCCCTCTACTTTCCTTTGTGTTTTTTAAATACCAAATTGAAATCTACTGAGGGTGCCAATGTTAATTTAATGCAACATCATCTATCGTATTCCATTCTGTATCTGTACGTGTTTAGTGCCTTGGGATGTCCTTCCGATGTGAAAGGCACTACATAAATGTGATTTGTTGTTGTTAAAGATTGCTCCGCTTAATTAACTCGAGTTTTGGTCAGTAGAAATGAAATTTCACTCCTCAAAGCTTGGCCTTGAGACTTCGCCCCACTTTTCACATTTCTCCTCTCCCGTCAAAACTGGATCAAAACATAAATTCTGCAACTGTTTTTGTAAGGACTTAGACTGGGCCCATTGAAAACTAGTGTATGTCAGAAATTGAGAGAAACCTGAAAACTATGCCTAAGTGTGATGAGATCGCCTCCTGCGCAGTCACATGTGCTTTGGGCTGATTGGCAAAGGCGGCAATTTTTTTACATTACCCAGTGAGGCCAAACCCACAGAATTAAATGTTCATTTCAATAAACAGATGCCAATTAAACTTCAGAAACATATGAAAACTAACACTCTACAACACAGGCTTTATCTTGGAAATAATCAGGTGGGATAACTGAAAATACTTGAGTAGGTTAAGAATCTAATTTACTTGTGGGAGAAATGGGAGAGGGAGAAGACTCCTGCTTATTTCTAGTACAGTAAATGTTCATACATTTCCCATGTTTTAAAGCAGCCTCTGCCACAAGCTCAATCCCACCACAGCTTTTGGGCTTCACCAGCTGTTTAGGCATTTGCTCGCACTCATACTCGCTCTTTGTCGAGACTTGCTCTTGAAGATTCCACATCAATGAAGCAAGCTTTTCTCCCAACAGCTCAGGGTTCTCGATGCATCGTCACCTGCCGCCTGCTGTGAAGTTTTGCCGATTTTGTACACAGCCGTATCCCACAAACAGTGAATGGCCAATCTTTATTTCGGGATTGTTGGCCAGAATACCAGGAGAAACTCCCTTCATTTTTCTAATACAGTAAACCCCCGGCTTACCGGACTCCGGAATTACAATCTATCCAGACCGGGTACAAAACCCAGAACTTTTTAAAACAAAAATTTCAGGCAATAAATTATACTTGTTCGTACAAACTTTGTTCCCATATAAGCCCTATTAAATATTGCCCATTCTGGAATGGCCCACTTTAATAAATAGAAATATTATTAATTTAGTATACAATTCAGCTTGTTTCTTTGGAAAAGAGTTTCCGATTATAGCACTTTCCCATTGTCTCAGCTGACTTCAGCCACCTCACAGTCCAGAGATTAGACCCAAGATTTACAGAATCTGTGTAGCTCAGGACTACAACAGACAATACATTTTCTCATGAACTGTAAAGAGATTGAAGCAACCCATTACTGATTAAATCAGTCTGGATTCTCATAAAAACATCTGGGCATTGATGTATTCAGACTTATCAGTGGTTTAGTCACTTAGTCAATGATTGTCTGTGTAAAGACGGGCTAATCCTCAATGCTGAATTATATTCAACTCGAGGCTGATCTCTATCACCAACTCAGCTGCTTCTTTCTGTTAATTCAGTCCATCACATTGAAAGATCTCTTGCCCATATGTTTTCTGCAGGTTAGCGTTTCTCTCTGAACGGAACCCGTTTTCAGTGTGTGCTTCTTCAACTTGTCATGTAGCGACTGTTCTTTCTACAGCACCGCTGGCTTTGGCAATGGCAAAGGACACCCTGGTTCCATTCTCTTTAAAATAATGCAAAACCTCAAAACTGACGCTCGGGCATCCAGAGAACTGATACAGGAAGTGGATGTTTAAGGCTATTACATCAGTATCTCAGCTAAAACAACAATGCTATCACAGTCATGCTTGGAGGTTACAGGCTAATGTTTGTGGTTTTACTCTTGGCTGTGGGCCACTGGGAATATAAAATGATTGGAATTCTGTGACTGCCTTTGGGAATATTTACAGTCAGTGGTTAGTTTTGTTGTGCTTTTTTTTAAGATTAGCATCCCAGGAAAATGATGAGAATGCAGGACCAAGACTATGGAATAAGTTTCTTTTTTTCTCCACGCGGCACATTTGTATTGGCTTCACCAGGCATTTTTATTTTCAGCTCCTGAACTTCCCTGGTCCGGTGACTCTGATCCCTGGCTGTTGGCATGTGTTTTCACTGCAGCTGAAACCAGGACATTGTATCGCATTAACCACTCGGCTGCTAATTGTCACGAGGGTAGGGTTCACATTTGACCTACCTCTGCAGTTCCACTCTGCACAAGGACAGGTGCGTAGTCAGCTCTTTGGGGCTGTAAATGTTGCTACTTATCTATGCAGAGTATCACAAGATCGCTAGATTGACTTAATAATAATAATCCTTGCATTTGTTATAGCACCTTAAATCCTCAAGGCGTCTCGAAGCGCTTCACAGAATATATTGTAAAGTGAACTGACTGTACATTTTATGGGCGAAACCTGGCAGCCAATTGCGCACAGCAGTGTCCCACAAACAGTTTTCGATGAAGGCCCTTTAGCCCATTTGATCTCAATGCAGTTTTGGGCACTGCACCTTAGAAAAGACACACAGACCTCGGGAGGATATATAATGTAGATTCTTCAATGATACCTGGATTGAGTGGGTTTAATTATGAGGATAGAGTGAGCAAACTGGCGCCGTGTTCTCTCGAAGGTAGGTTGTGCTCTGATGGAGGTGTTTAAGATAAGGTAATTGACAGAGTGGATGAGGAGAGACTCCTCAAGAGGGCGTATTCTACAAACTAGACCTAGAACTGTTAGTGGCGAAATCAGAAGTCTTTACTTTGATCAGGGTGGTCCAACCTTTTGGCTGCTGAGGGCCAGATGTTGGGTTTGGGAAGTGTCTGATGGAGAAAAAGCAGATACATGGTATTGAGATAGAGATCAGCCTTGATTATCAAAAAAAGGCAGAGCAGGCACAGTGGATTTACTGGCCTACTCTTGCTCTTTATCTTTCATACCATCTCAATCAAATTCTTCCCCACACGGCCAATTCCCTGTTATCACTCTATTCCTGCCTATAAATTGCTCAGTTCCAGGACTGCTTCCAATACGTTAAGGAAGTAGTAAATCCTCTTCTGCTCACGCCACAACTCTTGTAACTCCTTAAAATTAACACATGAGCGAGATTGTGAAATAAAATGACTTGTTTTTAAAACAAGCAGGATATTTAATAATTCTGTTTCTGTGTGCAGGAGAAGACGAGCTATGGTGCAGTGCAGTGTGGTATACACTGTTATCTTGGAGCAAAAGGTAAGTGAAGAGTGACTTGGCTTTGGTAACTAAAGCACCGATTTTTTTTTAAGAAAATTTTTTTTATTTTCATGGTGCAGCCTGTTACAGAGGCCCTAGGTCTTCAAACAGTTTAGCGCTATTGATAACTGCCCATTTTTCCCATTTAATACGTGTGAAATTATATGACTAATATGCATTCGGAAAACATTGCATAAAGCTCACAAACTAAAGGGAGGAACAATTCCAAGCAGCAGCCAGGAGAGTCATCAAGAATATTTGTCCCAGTGTACGGGGAGAAATGTTTTTTTTTGCATTTATTGCATAGGAATAGAATGGCCTAGTGGCCTGGAGGAAGAGGCTTGAATATTCAATGTCAGTAAAAATGTAGAATATTGCACATGCTAGCCTGGTGCTTATACAACACCCTGTATACTTATACTGCCTTTCACCTAATGCACATATTGCTTTTCACATAGCGTAGCAAAGTGCTTATCGTGGTTTTTCTTGTAGCCAATGGTCCCATCTAATTTGTATCCTCTTGTTTAAATCATTGAAAAGCAGGCACATTTAGCAGCATCCAGAATCCAACTGCCTACAGTTTTAAAAGCTCTCCCCTTCCCCATGCGCTTGTCCTGCAGTCTCATAAAACAGCTGCAGATTACTTGTTTGCAAAATGCATTTTGGACATAGAATGAGATTATGATGGTGGCCATCTGATAGAGAGAATGATATAACAATAACCAGAGTCGCTTTATCTTTGTTTTTATATTTTAAAATGTTTTATATGGGTGAGCTTTGAGAGAGAGCAGAAAGCAGAATTGTGAACAAAGGTTCTGCAGTAGTAACTGATGCTTGTTTCATGTGGTGCCTTATACTACATCAGTAACTGGAGCAGCAGTCTCCCACAAGAAACAGTGAGATAGATGAATGGCCAAAAGTGAGGGAGAGATATTTGGGCATGAAACGAGAGCTACCCTTTAAAATAATATTGAACATTTATTTACTTGAACCAGCAGAACAGGCAGATGGATGTAATACTGTTTTGATATGTCTGAGGGAGCATCAGTCCTAGATATTGAGCTAAGTTCCTGGACTTATCCAGAAGTCAAGAGTGCTACAAAGTAAGGCAGACTGACACCTAGTCCAATGTCTGAAGGAACTTAGCATTGTGTGTGTGTGTATGTTTATAATGCTGATATAGTTATCAACTTTGTGATGCATTGTAAAGAGGGAGGCATAACTATTCTGTACCTTTTAAAGCTTGTGGACTTAGCAGCTATCAAGCTCCCATCTGATATAACAAGTGTAAACAAAAGGGAAGAACTCTTATCTAATCTTGATTTTTTTTTAGCTTATACAATGTCTCTGCAATAACTTCCTCTATTTCAGCTGCTGTGCAATGGCACCAGAGTCTCTCTCTGGATTCCTCTTCATGGAAAGTCGACTCTGAGCTAGGTTTGGATTTATGGCACAAGTGGCAGAAATTAAGAGGGGCAGGCGAGGACAGGTAAAGCCAATAGCTAGACCACCTGTTTTACTGTGGAGAAATGTAGCTTGTCTTTTTAAAAACGGAATATGAAACCAGTGCAGGCCTATTAACCCTTTACTGATGCTGTCTCAATGGAGTGCCAATCCGCTCTATGCTGTTGACCACTCGCACTGAAAAAATGCTAACATTTTTAAAGGTAATCGAGATGCCGCAATGTCAGCTTTCACTGCATTAATATTTAGCGTAATCCACTAAAATGCAAAGACATAATTCAAATTAAAATGTAACATTTTTTAAAAAATCGAGTGGTTCAGTGTGTGTGACCTGATAAAGTGTTATTAGAAGGCTGAATCAACCCTCCTTCTCAATGTTTATTCACTATTTTCTGTCTGTCGCTAAAATGATTCCAGGTGACACTCTTCATTTGGAAAGTAGGGCAATTTAATCCCTTGCTTCATGGTCTGATTCTGCAGCCCATAGAAACCAGAGATAGCAGATTGACTGCTTCCCATCACGGCAATTACTGATGTGATTTTAGCACTCGCCTAAAGCAGAGAGTGTCTACTGATGAGCAAACTTCTCCTCAGGGCCTTGACACCCAGCAGGATGTGGATTTTTGAGCTAGGGAAATGTTTTGTTTCTCTTTCTCTCAGTAAAATATAGGCACAGTAAAGAACTTGCATTTTTCTTAGTCCTTTATCACAGCGAAACATCTGTGTTTCACCAGTATCTACTCACAGTAACAATGGCTGTGTAACCTTTAGTACCAGCAAGATCCCACAAATGTTCAGTAAGATAATGATCAATTAATATGAATCCTCAGGATTGTTGATCCAGACACTGAGAGAAACTTGTGTTTAAATATTGCATGGGGTACTACACCTAGACTATGAGCTTGAGTCCCGAAGTGCAGACTGCGTTATAATCTCACATGTAAGACTTCGGAGACTAAAATAGTGCCAATTTTTATTGATTCCCTTAATTTCTCAAGCTTGTAGCCAGTAAACAAAAGCTTTGTGGCTGACACCTGCCCTCTGCTGGGGACGTTTTGAATGTTTTGAATATGAGAAATGTTACAACTCGTGCAAGTGTGTAGTTTTGGTGAGCTATTTTTACTACTCACATTTTCTGTGTGGAGCAGTAGAATTTTAGTCAAGTGTCAAAGGTAGTTATATTAAGTGAGAAATATGGAGCATGATGGAGGGACACAAGTAGGTGCTGTCAATATTCACAGACCTATTGAAATGCCAAGGCATTGCATATTTTCCAGCAGAGGTCACTGGCTGTCAATCATTTTGCCTCTGGCCGACTTATCTTTTCCGAACTCAGATCATTGTCTAAGCATTGCCGCACCTCTGAGATAATCTCAACCCAAAGCACATATATTGTACTTGAGACTTGTCCTCTGAACTCGAGGAGGATCTTGGGGAGAATTCTGTTAGCTTCCTTAAATAGGAAGGATTCCAGAATCCGTAGTTAACTTTTACGTGGTCTGTAGAAGGAACAGGTATGATGGGCTAAAGGGCCCTTTTCTCATTCTTTGCTATTCCTGTGAACTTCCACATAAACTAATGAACTGAGAGTTTTTTTCACATGCTTATGGGCAGGGAAGGGGGTGAGAGAAGGATTTGTCTCCTCATGTAGGTTTGTTTGACATTTCTTGATTTTATACCTATGTGCTATAATCTTGTCTTTTCGGGTTTATGTTGGTTTTCGAGTCTGATGTGTGACAATTGCTAATGAGATTCCTTTAAAAGGAAAAAAATCAGTCGCAGAAAACTCCAATGCAAGCTACTTTTGGATCACTTACTCTACTGTACACCCTCCACACCTTATATATTTATAACATATTCATATCTTAAAAATTGGCTTCTTGTTGAAGAAGTAAGTGCAGAAATAATTATTTGAGCTTTTCATCCTTTTGTTTTTGGAACAGGCAGAAGAGGTTTGCAGAGACTGGCTTGTGGCAACGTCTCCGGGGACAGTATTCATCGGATTTACTTTGGCCCCGTTTAATTCTAAATCCCAACTTCCTGCTGAACTTCAGTGCCACTGTTTCCCACAATAGAACGGTAAAACACTGTGCTCCGTATGTCCAGGTGCCATGTTTTTCTAAAAACAACACTTCCTTAGAGTATGAGGAAGGACATGGGGGGGGTGGGGGGGAGTGGGGGCTGAGGCAGGATACCAGGTGGTATGGGGTGGGGGCAGCTATTGACACACATCCTTTACAAGACCAGTGCTTTTGATGGTTGAATCCAGATGGTGAGCTTTGACCAGATATGTACACACGCAGATTATCATTTGAGCCCTACATTCCCATATACACACATACACACACACTCGCACTTTCCTCCTGCAGGATGATGAACCTTACCTGTATTTTTGTTCTCTTCCCCCCTGTGGTTCACTGGAGTCGGTTATAGGATTCCCAATTACTACTTAGGCTGAGATCAGTTAAAGGGCAATCCCTTTATGACATACAGTAGTTGTCTGGGTCCAATGTGTTTGAGGTCTCGTGTTATAAAGAGGCATGATAAAATGGCTGACTTCCCGGTTATCAGATCGCCACTGACATCACCGCCTGTATGCTGCGCCCACTTCCTTCATGGGGTTGTATCAGCGGCGCTTTGAGTGCATTTGCTTCCTGCTCACATTTAGCGTGCATGAAGTGACAACGCTACCTGACAACCTGGAAGTCAGCTATTTTGTAATGTGATTGGATTTGTATGGAGCAAGTTCCATTTTCAAGTCAGAAAATGTCATGGGAGCCAGTCGTGTTGTAAGCCAACACACATTATAACGAAGCGAATTATGATGGGGGTAGTTCTGAAATTCACTGAGATAAATAAACTTGATTTTGGCTGCTGCTCAACGTGCAAGTGTGGTGGGATATACTGATATGTTCTTGATATTTCAGGTGAAACACTTTGTCTTGAAGAACCCTTCGGACATGCCAGTTGTGGTGCAAATTCTGCCAGTTTCTCATTATCCAAACCCTCAGTTTGCTCTGAAGCTCCTCCTCAAATGGTAAGCAGCAAATTTTTAGTTACCACTGTGATATGCTGAGGAAAGGAGCAGATATTAAACCATTCTGAGTGATATTAAACCAAAAATGTTCGGTGTCATCTTCCAACAACAACAACAACAAGATTCCATTTATAAAGCGCCTTTCACGTCAGGAGGACGTCCCAAGGCGCTGCACAGTTGGGTCATGACCCGAGCAGAGGGGAAATGGTCAGGGTGAGGGGAGGGAAGGGAGGGAGCGAGGAGGGGGGAAATGGTCAGGGTGAGGGGAGGGAGCGAGGAGGGGGGAAATGGTCAGGGTGAGGGGAGGGAGCGAGGAGGGGGGAAATGGTCAGGGTGAGGGGAGGGAAGGGAGGGAGCGAGGAGGGGGAAGAGAGTCGAGAGGGGAGCTGAAGGCACGGTCAAAGAGAAAGGTTTTGAGACCGGCCTTGAAGGAGGAAAGGGAGGAAGCAAGGCACTTTTCTCCATTATTTTTACACATATTTATCAGAATTGAATGCTCATTTGTTAACCTTGTTATGCCCAAAGCTGCTGAATTGCAGAGACTAACTTTTTAAACAGGAAAAGGAACTGGTAATTTGGCCCATCAAGTCTGCACTTGTGTTTCGACATTACCCAATCTAATCCCACTCTATGGCCTGCTTCCATACTTTTATTCCTGGTTTTCAAGTATCTGGTGAATTCCCTTTTGTCATTTCATAGCCCAGTGTCCCCCCAATACAGTTGGTAGTTTACATGGCTCGAGGAGACATTGTGCAAATTGCCTGCCTCGTTTACCTACAAATAGTCACTAGATTCGCAATAAAATCACGTGAAGTGCTTTGAGACATCTTGACAATGTGATAAGGCGCTATATCAAAATGCAAGAATTGTTGTAACTTGCAGCAGATTTTAAAACTATCATTTTGCTTCCTTCAAAGGCATAATCTAGAGCGACCGAGCATAAGCATCACAACAAAGGAATTCAGGCTCATAATACTGCCAGAGAGTAAAGTAAGTTTAAAAAAATATATATTTATATAAAGTGTAGTGCAATGAAATATGCATGATATGTAGGGTATTTAATATCTTTTCTTCCTCTGCTTTTATTTTAAATGCTCCTTTTCTTCTGCCACCCTTTCCCTTCGCCCTCCTCCCATGTAAACTATGTTGGAACTTGAGCTCACAGAGCTTAAACCAAGGTCCATCAGCCTGTTCAGATGGTTATTAAAGATCCGGTGGCACTCTTTGGAGAAAAAAAACGAAGGAAGTTCCTCCTGTTATCTTCTCCAACATTCCCCCCCAGATAATATGGTTGCTCATTTCATGTCTGTCTGTGGGTCTTGGTAGTGCTGTAGCTCGAGTCTTCTCTTGAACCAGGATTCATGAATCTGTCACCCCCATCCTCGTTTAGCTCCACTGGCTTCCCATTCTATAGTAGATTGGATTCAAGATCCTTGAATTCGGATTTGAATCCTTCAAATCCCTCCACACCCTTCCCTAACTCAGCGACCTCCTTCAACCCTACCAACCGGGATATTCCTTCTGTTAGAGTCTGTTTTGTGTTCCCAACCAGATCCGCCCTACCATTAGACAAGCCTTCAGCCTTTCTGCCCCTACTCTGTGGAACTCTATTCTGGAGTCCCTCCACCTCACCCTCTTCCCCCCACCTCCACCTGTAAAGTGTTTTGACATTTCTGCTCAGCGTGAACAGCACTATATACATGCAAATTGTTGGAGCCATACTTGAAAGTAATTATCTGTGAGGCTCTTTGCGATGTGTCTGTGTTATTGGTGATTTATCAGATGTAAGAATTTTTATGATTATTAATAAGGAAATTCGCATTCCAACAGTGCTCAGTTTAACCACCTTCTGCTAACCACCTCACACGTGTGACTGTTAATTGTGTTGATACAGAGCTCAGATGGTTATGAGCGAATGGAGTTGGACAATGGAACAAGCGTTCAGGTGCTTCAGTTAACCTTACAGCCTCAGGAGATCAAGAAGGTTGGTGTGGAGTTCACACCAATAAGTCAGAGTCTGGTCAAGTCAGTCATACTGATCAGGTAAAGATTTGGCAATATCTGTGCAAGTAACTAATAGCAATAACGTGCTATAAATACATCATTAAAATGCATGTTGTGGTTTGATATGACTCGGAGACACCACTCCACGTGAAGGATGCTATATGAATGCAAGTTGTTGATATGTTTTAAATGAGGCATGCCCCTGCTATCTAATGCTATGCAGTGAATGTTTTTTTTTCTGTGGGAGGCTACTTAAGAGAGTTATTATTTTTTTCCCCCAAAATCTGCTGTGAAAAGCTAATGCAAACCTGTAGGTGTGGAAATTTATATATTTTTTAAAAAGAACTACTTATTGCTGCTATCTTTGGAGATATAACGAGTAATTTAGAATTACACAGAAATTTTACAGCAAGGGTACAGGCCATTCAGCCCAGTTTATCTGTGCTAGTGTTAAAACTCCACACGAACCTAATCTCCTGACTTGTACCCCTTCTATTCCTGAGGCAAGGGCTCTAATTCCCACTTCCAGCCTGTGGGAAAGAGAGCCCTTGGACAGGGAATGTGTTGTTTTAGCATCTTTCAACTGGAGTTAGTTTGTCTAAACCTGATGATGAGGACATTAACCTGACGATATTCAATGACCCTTGAAAGAAAGTGCGCTTGTGTGAACCTGGTCATTAAGCTCAACTGTGATAATAATAATGATAATAATAATAATCCTTGCCTTTGACATAGCGCTTTTCACGTCTTCTAGACATCTCGAAGCGCTTCACAGAATAGACTGTAAACTGAATTGACGGTATATTTGTGGGCGAAATGCGGCAGCCAATTGCACACAGGAGTGTCCCACAAACAGTCGTGGATTGAAATGACCAATTATTTTTTTTGAGGGATTATTATCAGACGTGTGGAGCAAGGAAACTTGCCCAAGGATTCACCCTGTCTTTTAAAATTTGTTTGTAGCCCAAAGTCAAACAAAAATACTAGCGCAAAAGTCATATGGGTAGCAGAGTGTCCAATTTAGGTTAGTGCTTTTGAAACTGCAAGAAACTGATGCCATCCTAAGTCAAACAGATGCCCGCTCTCGGACTTCCCGCAGGAAGATTGGCCATCTGTATATGGATAAATGTTCAGATGCCATAATCAAGGGCAACTTGTCCCAATTAATACTCTTTTTTTAAATGATTCCAGATTTAATGTTGTGCTCTGAGGGATAATACAATTCACAAGTGCAACACTAGAGGGTGCAGCCACAATGCCTTTTTAATATGACCGGTATTTTAGTAATGGTTAGGAAGTAGTTTGACATGAGTTGATCCTAAAGTCTTCCCCACGCAATATTGTCGTATAATATTGTTGAAGAGGCCAGTCTGGATAGGTCCTTTTTAAGTAAAAACAATCATATTTGTGATATATATCTTATGATCTCTCTTCCTCCACCCCTCTCTCCATTTGGGTTTCTTTTGAAGAAATAACCTCACAATACTGGACATGCTGACCGTGGAAGGCTTTGGGGCGAACGAAGTATTGAAAATGGGAGGCAGGATACCCGGTGGAGGGGGGTCGCTTCGGTTTAAGGTGCCAGAATCCAGCCTCATGGAATGCAGGCACAGTGAGTAATAAGAGTAATCCTTACATTTGAAACAGCGCCTTTCACATTGGGAGGATGTCTCAAAGCGCCTTTTACAGGATACACTGTACAGTGCAGTGGCTGTGTTTTGTGGGTGAATGCAGGCAGCCAATTTGAGCACAGTCGTGTCACACAAACAGCCATGGAGTGAATGACCAATTTTACTCGAGGGATTGTTGGTCAGGACCCTGGAAGAAACTCTCTTCCCTTTATGAAAGGTGATCTTTAACGTCCACCTGAACAGTGACGACCGTACCTTGCTTAACGTCTCTTCCGGAGCACGGCACCTCCCCCAGCACCGCACTGGGGGGGAGGGGGGGGTCGGCTTACACCATCCGAGTTCCCACCTTGAGGTTTGACTTGGGGCCGAGATGAGTAACAGCTGAGCCAGGCTGACACCACAGTATCCTGTGCACAGGGTGGGGCGCGGTGATGGGGGTTGAGGCGAGAAGTGTCGAAATCACGCGCTGCGGTCGTCTCGGATCGAGTCTCAACAACGGGCGGTTCGCCTTGTGCGCGATCACAAAGAAAGACAAGGGGAGGGTGGGTGGGGGGGAACTGCGTTGTTATTCCGTCAAATCGAAAGCGGAGCCTGGAGCGCGAAGCATTTCCTACACCTCGGAATAAAAGCTGGAAACTTTAATGTTTAACCTGCGGTGAGCATGGCTGCCGGCCCCTGGCGAGGCTGGGAGGGTGAGTGGGTGGGAGGGAGGGAGGGGAGGGTGGGAGGGAGGGGGGGAGGGTGGGAGGGTGGGTGGGAGGGAGGAGGGGAGGGTGGGAGGGCCGGGGAGGGAGGAGGGGAGGGTGGGAGGGAGGGAGGGAGGGTAGGTGGGTGGGCCGGGGAGGGAGGGAGGGTGGGTGGCCCGGGGAGGGAGGGGGGGAGGGAGGGTGGTTGGGAGGGTGGGAGGGAGGGAGGGAGGGAGGGAGGGAGTGAGGGTGGAAGGGAGGGGGGTGGGTAGGGTGGGAGGGAGGGAGGGAGGGTGGCCAGGGGAGGGAGGGTGGGAGGGCCGGGGAGGGAGGGTGGGTGGGTGGGTGGGAGGGAGGGGAGGAGGGGAGGGTGGGAGGGAGAGGTGGGAGGGAGGGAGGGAGGGAGGGAGGGAGGGGTGGGAGGGAGGGAGGGGTGGGAGGGAGGGGAGGGAGGGAGGGAGGGAGGGCCGGGTGGGGAGGGAGGGAGGGAGGGAGGGGTGGGTGGGTGGGTGGGAGGGAGGGTGGGAGGGGAGGGTGGGAGGGAGGGAGGGAGGGTGGGAGGGCCGGGGAGGGAGGGAGGGAGGGAGGGAGGGAGGGAGGGCCGGGGTTGGAGACGCTCCTGGTCTCTGGGTCCTGGCCTCGCTGTGGGCTGCGGTGATGTCAGAGGCTGAGGCGTCGCTGATGTCACAAAGGCCCAGGTTTTGAATCTTGTCCGTTATTTTTTTTTAAAAAAACCCAAAAACTGCCTCGGTCGGTGTCGAGTGTGAGCGCGAGCCTGAGCGCGAGCCTGAGCGCGAGCCTGAGCGCGAGCCTGAGCGCGAGCCTGAGCGCGAGCCTGAGCGCGAGACTGAGCGCGAGACTGAGCGCGAGCCCGAGCCGAGACTGAGCGCGAGCCCGAGCGCGAGCCCAGCCCGAGCGCGAGCCGAGACTGAGCGCGAGCCCGAGCGCGAGCCCAGCCCGAGCGCGAGCCCAGCCCGAGCGCGAGCCGAGACTGAGCGCGAGCCTGAGCGCGAGCCCAGCCCGAGCGCGAGCCGAGACTGAGCGCGAGCCTGAGCGTGAGCCGAGCCCGAGCCGAGACTGAGCGCGAGCCTGAGCGCGAGCCGAGACTGAGCCCGAGCCGAGACTGAGCGCGAGCCTGAGCGCGAGCCGAGACTGAGCGCGAGACTGAGCCCGAGCCGAGACTGAGCGCGAGCCTGAGCGCGAGACGAGACTGAGCGCGAGCCGAGACTGAGCCCGAGCCGAGACTGAGCCTGAGCGCGAGCCGAGACTGAGCGCGAGCCTGAGCGCGAGCCGAGACTGAGCCCGAGCCGAGACTGAGCGCGAGCCTGAGCGCGAGCCGAGACTGAGCGCGAGACTGAGCCCGAGCCGAGACTGAGCGCGAGCCTGAGCGCGAGCCGAGACTGAGCGCGAGCCTGAGCGCGAGACGAGACTGAGCGCGAGCCGAGACTGAGCCCGAGCCGAGACTGAGCCTGAGCGCGAGCGGAGCGCGAGCCCAGCCTGAGCCCGAGCATGAGCCGAGACTGAGCGTGAGCCCAGCCTGAGCGCGAGCTGAGCACGAGCCGAGCGCGAGCTTGAGCACGAGCCGAGTGCGAGCGTGAGGTGAGCGCGAGCCCGAGCCAGTGCGAGCGGCCGGAAAACGTACAACTGGGGTTCAATGGGATTGAAAAATGTGGGCGTACTCAGGGTGGGGGAGTGTTTCTATGTCGAATATTTCAAGAATAATTAGGGCGAAGTGCGGGCGGTGGGAGATAAAGAGAGTCTCCAGCATAAAAATGGGAACGAAATCCATTCGGAATTGCCAGAGAAACATTTTATATCCATATTATATGTATTTATATATACATATATATGTATATATATAGTATATTATTAAAATGGCCAGTGGCATGTGGCCCTGGGCACGTGCTTTGCCCTGGGCGGGTGGAGTGAGCGCCTGGTACTGAGCGTGCGGAGAGAGGAAATGTATAAGGGCTGTTTGAGAAGTAGGTCAATCGAGAGGATGAGGTGGGCAGACGTGTGGAAGGAATCTTCTGGGAAGTCGGGACAGTGGGTGAGACAGACGAAAGATTCACTCCCGCCTGAAGAAACCTTACTGTTACTCTCTAGTCAAATTTCTCTTAAATTAGAGGTTAGCTTTTCCCTGAATATCCACAGCCCAGTATCACTGGATTCCTATTCGAAGTGATTCTGTCCTGTGGACTTGCTTCACTGTCGCTGGGCTCTCCTTGTGAGTTGAGTTTTGTTGATCTCCGAGCTGGTCTGTGGAGCTTCTCAGTCTATGGGTTTGGGTCAGGTGAGGTGTGGACAGAAAGAGAGGAGGAAAAATCATAGGAGTGAGTAATCCAGACTTGTAATGCGCATTTGCTTTTGCCGAAAATGATCTTCCACTGGCAAAGTGTGTGAAAAATCCGGAGTCTAGACTATCCTTCCCTTGTATTTCTAGAATAATGAGCGGAAACATTATTGGCCAGAAATACAGCTAGGCTCAATTAAGATTTGGATTGGAATAGGAGAGGAAGGAATTGACCCATCGTGTGAGATAGAAAAGATACTATGTTTCCCTTCTCTTGTTTTCAGAGCCAAAGGGAAGTGAACTCAATTTGACCATCAGAAGAAGTTTTAAGGTTGAAAACATTGGACCTCTGCCAGTCACCGTGACTTCAATGAGCATCAATGGATACAGATGTCATGGGTTTGGTTTTCAGATCCTAGAATGTCAATCGTTTGTCCTGGATACTAACTCTTCACACGATGTCAACATTTTGTAAGTACAAGTGCTGAATGATTAATTGTAATAGCTCGTATCTACTTCAACACGGTCACTGATGCATAACATCTAACAGACAGTGCTTGCTCCAGCATATTCATATATTATTCTGAAGAATTCTAATGTGACCTGAAGTGATGTTTAATAACAGGAGTTAGAATGAAATTCAGCACCCCTGCCAAAATCATGGCGACTCGCTTCCAGTATACACAGCATTAAATGCAGTATTCGCAGCATTAAATGCTGAGAGACCTGAATTGTGGAGATGTGAGCACTGACTGTGGAGCACGGCCAACAGAAGTTGAAAGGAGACCTGTGAGGTGTGTCAGATTGGCGAGAGCCAAGTTTTAGGGATCCCAGAGTGTACTACTGGAGTACAACCAGCTAGAACAGCATCGCTTTCCATTGTGAGCAGTCTGGCAAGCTTCCCACTGCTTGTCTAGCTAGGATCACCCTAACCATTAGGACTTTAACTTGCTGGATTAATGAGAGCTGAGTAGAAAGAATCCTTGCTCCCAGTGACTGATCTGCCCCTTATGTGTTCTGTTGAGCCAGCTGGTTGGTCTGTCATCAGGAGTGCTGCAAAGTATGGTGAGCCCCCTGGCTCAACCAGCCTGAGATTGCCACGAAGGGTTAACTCTGTTCTGACATTCTGTTTCCAACCATGAAACCTTGGAGGCAATTCAGCCCCAAGGAGATGGCACTTGCCTCTTTTCACCAAGGGAGTATCATCTGAACTTTGTGTTCTGTGCTGAAATGACATTCGCATACCTTTGATGAAACATTTCTTTGTTCCCTTCCAGATTTACACCAGATTTCACTACCTCTTGGGTGATCCGTGAACTGCAAATTTTAACTGCAAGAGGCTTGCAGTTTCAGTTCACTCTGAATGTGACTCTTCCACACCACATGTTACCTCTTTGTGCAGACTTGGTACCAGCACTTAGCTGGGAGCAGCCTTTCTGGATGATCACCTGCCTCTTTAGCTGGTAAGAACATTTTAACAAGACTGTTCATATACATTTGAAGTCCAGTTTAAGTTCCTGCAGACTCCTAAGATGTTTTGCAGGAAGAAAAGTTTTCACCTTGTGTGTATTTGCAGAGATAATAATAATCCTTGTGTTTGATATCGTACCTCAACATCTCAACATCAACAACTTGCATTTATATAGTGCTCTTCACATGGGGTAGCGTCCCAGAGCGCTTGACAGTCAGTGGCGGAGTCTGACACCGAGCCAGGGGGATAGGGAGGTGGGGGAGGTGACAGTAAGCACAATCAAAAACGAAGGTCTTTAGGCGGTATTTGAAAGTGGGGAAGGAAGGGGCAGATGGAGGGATTGAGGGAGAGAACTCCAGAGTTTCAGGATGCAGTGACTGAAGGCATAAATAATTCCTCCAAAACAAAACAACAATAAATTGGTCATTTTCAATGCACAACTGTTTGTGGACACTGCTGTGCGCAATTGGCTGTTGCGTTTCGCCCACAAATATACGTTCAATTCACTTTACAGTCTATTCTGTGAAGCGCTTTGAGATGTCGAGAAGATGTGAAAAGCACTATATCAAATGCAAGGATTATTGTTATTATTATTATTATTATGGCGATTGATGATGGAGGGGATGAGGGGCAAATAAGAGACTAGATCCAGCCAAGCGGAGGCAGCGGGTAGTGGAGTGGGGGTAAGCAGGTCAGACAGGTAGGGAAGTGTGAGGACATGAAGGGATTTGAAAACGAGTGAGAGGATCTTGAAATCTATCCGTTCGGTACTTGGGAGCCAGTGGAGCCTGGCAAGGGCTGGTGTGATGGCGGTACGGAGCTTCGTGCGAGTGAGTATCTGGGCGACAGCGTGTTGAATTAATTGAGTTTTGTTGTATGGTGGAGCTGGGGAGACTGGTGAGGAGGGCAATGGAATAGTCCAGCAGGGAAGTGACAAAGGTGTGAACGAGGGTTTCAACTGCATTGGTTGTGAGGTACTGAGGGAGGCGGGCAATGTGACCTCGTTGAGACGTTTGAAAGCTCTTCATAGAATATATTGTAAAGTGGATTTACTGTGTATTTTGTGGGTGAAACAGGATAGCCAATTTCACACAGCAGTGTAACACAAATGGTCATTGATTTGTGAGATGTTGATTTCATCATTTTTTAAAGATAAAAATGTGCTGTTTCACATCTATAATAATAATAATTATCTATCATCCTATGTCTGCTTCTTCTCAAGTTTGTCTCCTGGCTTGACCAGAGGAGTATCACCCTCTTTCTACTCCCAATCTAGTTTGTCAGTTCATGATTATTAAACACCTCAACTGTGTCAGTTTCTTTGCAGAATTGCTTATTAATCAATATTCGCGCACGGTTCCAACTTCTCGATTTTTGTCTTACAGTTCGTTGTTGGTTTGTGTGGTGCTGATGGCTTATCAACATGCTCATTACATTCTTACTGAGTTCAGCCAATCCAGACCTAGGCCATGCCAAACCTCCCTACTGCTCCAGGAAGAGCGAACCTCCATAAACACACTTGGCTCCACTACCTACAAGTAAGAAGCAACAAATCCTTGCTCTAATTGTGTAATACAAACTATTCGAAAATTTTCCAAAAAACAATTGGTAGCTGGAGAAATTCTATACATAACCTCCCTTTAGTGCTGTAATTCCTTTGTTCTGTTTATAGTCACTTTCCCAGCAGTTAAGCAATTGGAAGCAGGAAGGCTGATTTACCCTACTTACTCTGAAATTGCATGCATTCAGACTGAGGAGAGCTCTGGGCATATGCAAAAAGCCGGTGTGCAGAATTGTGTTAACCACTGGAAGGCTTTTAACATTTTTAAAGAGCCGGAGTGTAATCACCTCATCAACAATATTAAAAGTGGTTCTTTAGAACTTTAAGGGATCGTTTTTGACTGGAGGCCAAAGTACTACCGAGAATATGCTGCAGCAATGTGAAGCGATGCTTGGCTGGAATCCCCTCCTCACGGTGGCATTGGTGGGCAAGTTCTCAACCTCAATTTATACCAAAGCAGAGTGAAAGGGTGTTAATTAAAAAGGCTAGAATTGTTGAACCCAAGGTTTCTTTAAGTAGAAAAAGAACGTACTCTACAAGTAAAGTTTCAGTTATCGTATGAAGGCCAGCACAATAATTATTTTAATGCCCCATCTTGTGAACAAAATCCTGTTTCCTGGCGAGAGTGAATGTTTGAAAATAATTTTCAATAATGTGTTTATCGTTTGTTAACAGATTGAGTAGAGCTAGCTGTAAAGCTTACAGTGATGCTAATAATTCACCAGACAAAGGGAAAGGAAAAGGAGCTCTTGCAGTGGGTGCTCCAGCAGCTAGAAGCCAAAACACTCCAAAACGCAGCCCGGTCACCTCAAGCCATTGCCCTAGGAAACTCAAGTGTCCAGCGCACTACAGCAAAAGTAAATGGAATGTAACGGCAAATACAAGCAGTGGCGCTAGTGAAGAGCAGCAGCAGTCCAATGGAGGACCGTTCCAAGATGCAAAGGAGCAGCATTCTTGCAGTGGCATCCCCTCGTTTGAAAAGCCGCACAATAAAAGCTGTAGTATATATCCAGAGAAAGCTCCAGAAAATGTGCAAAACACAGTACTGGAATGCGAGAGTACCTCATTTTTTGCTGCAACTGAGCCAATTGCTAATGGTAAACTCGAGGCATGTGTGCTGACTGAGAAAATCCCCACTGAACTCCTACTGGACTTTGAGATGCCTGAAATGAAAGGATTGGATTACTGTGGACCTCGTCAGTTAAGCACTCCAGATGAATACCATATATCAGAAGAAAGATTTAAGACCGATGAATCTCAACTCGCTTCCTTCTCATCTTGTGAAGGTATGACCATAGCTTAGAAAGGGTGACGATAATTGTAAGTTATTGCAAGTCCAAAGTTTTGCTTTTTGTCCTGCTAAAAATCACGCTCCTTTATGTTTCATTTTTCCCAATACACACAACAGCCAAATTACATTTGTAAACCGCCTTTCACGTCAAGAGGACTTCCCAAGTTGCTGAACAGTCAGGGATCAGAAGCCCACCGTGGGGGGGAGGTGCGCAGGGTTGGGATGATGGAGGGCAGAGAGGTAGGGAAGCGGCTGAAGGCACGGCCGAAAATAAAGGTCTTGAAGGAGGCAAGGCAAAGGGATTGGAGGATGGAATTCCAAAGGGTGGAGCCAGAGGGGCTGAAAGCTTGGCCATCAATGATCCGGCGGGTGACGTGGAGCAGGCCAGAGCCTGTTGAGTGGAGGGAGCGGACAGGTTGATAGGGGTTAGCAGGCCAGAGAGGTGAGAGAGGGCAACGCCCTTGAAAGTGAGGATGAAGATTTTGAATTATCTTTGCGATTTAGCATCTGGACTAAATTTATGGTATTATTTTGAAAAAATTCCTGGCATGAATGCAATACAAATCAAAATACACGAATGGTTGGGGCAGACATTATTATAGCGTGTCTCAATAATTTATGAAATCCCTTTCATCGTTTGATATGGTGTCAAAAGCAAACTTAAGGGATTGCTCCATTTGGATGACTCCACTTGGCCAATGCTACTTGATTGATTTAGGTCTGGAAGGTTCTGGGTTCAAATTTCAGTGGTGCCACTTAAGGTATCTTAAAAATATATTATGTATTTTTGTGATGAGGTGGGGAGGAAGAAGGAAGTGCATCTCCTTACAGGAGACATGTCTGGAAGAAATAGGCAGTTCTGCAGTAACCCACAGCATTCTTGATGACCTGTTTGGCTGATCAATGAGACTTGGAGTTACAGACACGTCTGGAAACCTTGTGCCACAAAGGTCAAAACAGTAGAGTGATCCTAGCTGGATAGGTACTTTGGAAACTGTCTCTCGAGTCATATGATAAGCTGTGCAGTTACCATTCATTACATTACGGTGGAGTCCTGTAGCTCGGTGGTTAGAGCATTCACCTCGCAAGCGAGAGACCTGGGTTTGATTCTCGACAGGGTGAGACCTTGGGCAAGTTTGCTTGCTCCACATGCCTGATAATAATCCTTCAAGAAAAAAAAATACAATAATAATTTGGTCACTCAATCCACGACTGTTTGTGGAACACTGCTGTGAGCAATTGGCTGCCGCGTTTCGCCTACAAGTATACAGTCAATTTACTTTATAGTATATTCTGTGAAGCTCTTTAAGACGTCTAGAAGATGTGAAAAGCGCTATATCAAATGCAAGGATTAATATTATATTCCACTGAATACAATGAATACATTTTTTAAGTGGGACAGTTGTTGTAAGTAAATTAACTATCAGCCTAATAGTTTAGATGGCATAATTATCCCCTGTTATTTAAAATAAAAAAATAATTGTGCGGCTCCTTTCTGCTTAATGTTTCATTGGAGGTATTTTGCTCTGTTTTAATGATAATTCTGATGTTTAGATAATCTACAAGAAGGGACGGTGGAGAAGCTGAGTGAAAATCTCAAGATTGTGGAAAAGCTGAAACCCTGTATACCTCAAGCAAAGACACATATTCCAAACTTACAAAACCCATTGCCTCCCTTTGTAACCAGAAAGTCAATCACAGTGGAGGTAAGTTTCAATTTAAGTGCAGCATAAAGAATATTTTAAAATTTTGTTTACTAATGTATTTAGTACTGAAGGGCTTCCTTCCACTTCCAAACACAAATTCTACAAATGTTATTTGAAAAATAAACCCAACCTCTTAGGTAGTGTTAGGTAAGAAAAGAACTGAAGAAAGTGACCCAGTTCTGTCTCCTTTAAACCTGGATCTTGCGTTCAACCCAGAGTTGTCAACATCAAGGGGAGTGTTAGAAATGATGCACTGCAGCTTGCAAATCCATTCAAACATGACCTACATCAAAATATACTATGTTTTATATCCAGTGTCTTCCTGCCCCACCTGGTCATGTGCAGTGTTCCTCAGGGCTTTGTCTTTTTTTTATCAATTATATGCTCCCCCTTGGTGACATTAGTAGGTACGTGTGAGCAGATAATGTCCACCTTTCTTTCTGCTGTTACCCTCGACTCCAGGACTACTGCTGTTTGGACATATGGCCTGTTTCAACTTCCCAGGTTGCTCACTCCAAATTATCTGTGTGGAAATTGCCACTCCCTCCCAGCTCTAGCTCCCCTCAGTCTCTTTTCCTTGGATAAAGTTGTCTTGTGCAGAAAGTTATGCATCATTTATTTTTTTGTAAAATCAATTTCTGGGATTACAGTTTATTTAAGACTGCAATAAACTGACATCAGCCATATGAATTAATGTTTAAAACTTTTTTCTTTAAATAATCCTATCCCAGCAAATGATGCCTCCAGACAATGTTAAACAGAAGAGACAACAGGAGAAGATGGAAGGAATTACAACTAGCAATAAATGGAAGGGAAGGAAGACGTATGGGAAAAACAGGAAGATGGCTGTAGAGTAAGTATTTAAGCCATTCCTATTGATTCTAGACAATGTAGACAATTTGATATATTTTCCAGTGTCTGTGCTTGGTCAGGAAATTGATCATAAGCTTGAGACTGGAGTGTTCATAGGACTTCTTTCAGTCTAGAACAACAACTTGCATTTATATAGCGCTCTTCATGTTAGACTCAGAGTGGACTTTGGGGAGGGGGAGACGATTATAGATACGGTCGAAGAGGTAGGTTTTACCATGGCAATGCAAGCTTAAAAAGCAAAGAAAGTTCAACAAATCTAGAATATCTGTTGGAAAACTGGTTAATGGCTGTCCTGGCTCTTAGTCTTTTTAATCCTTTCCACAGTCGGCCTGTGCATTTTTCCTTCTCCTTCGTTGCAAAAATACTAACAATAATAGCAAATTATATTTGTAAAGCGCCTTTCACGTCGGGAGGACATCCCAAGGCGTTGGACATGCGCAGGGAGGGTAGGGGTAGGAGTGTGACCGAACGCACGGACTTGAGACAAGCCTTGAAGGAGGCAAGGGAAGGAGTGAGGCAAAGGGATTGTGGGATGGAGTTCCAAGGGGTGGGGCTAAAAGTCGATGGTAGTGCGGTTGGGTGGGGGTCATGAAGCAATGCAGGAGCACGCTGAGCGGAGGGAGCAGACAGGACGATATGGAGTTAGCGGGTTACAGATGTAGGGAGGAGCAAGGCCATGCAAGATTTTGAAGGCAGTGACAAGGATACTGAACTCTACCCTCTGAGGGATGGGGAGCCAGTGGAGCCGGGCGAGGATGGGGGTGATAGGGTCAGGGAGCCTAGTGTGGAAGAGGACATGAGCTGCAGAGTTCTGAATGATCTGAATCTTGGAGAAGGAAGAGCTGAAAAGCCCGACACGCATGGAGTTTGTATAGTCGAGCCTGGTTGTGATGAATGTGTTCAAAGTAACAATAGCAAAAACTTGGGTGGGAAATTTTCTGTGCAGCAATTGGAATATGCAAGTGAGGTAAATTGGGTGCATCTCCAATTGACATTTTATGGATTATAACATTGTTAGTTCTTACAAAATTATAGACGATTATATTATAGAAATGGACCATTTGGCTCAACTAGTCCATGCCTGTGTTTGTACTCTACTTGAGCCTCCCTCCCCTCGATTTCCTCTCCCTCGTGTGTTTGTGGGATGGTCAGTGACAGAAGTTCCACTGAAATATTTGGACATTTTACTGGTTTTGTGAATTTTTCTTTTTTTTTAATCTTTTTCTCCTTCCCCATTAATAATTTTTTAAGAATTGACAATATAATCGGCATTTTGTAACTGACTATTTTACTAGCTTTCAGGACATTTTTATTGAATAGTTTCTTTATCCTGTGCTAAGAACTAGATTACTTGAGTATCTTGCTGTTTTGCTAGGGCTGACCAGACTGGTTGTGTGCTCACTGAGAGAAGTCAAGATTACAACCAGAAGGGGGAGCGAGTTCAAGATCGACCAAGAAAAGGATGGCAGTACGGAAAAAGGGAAAATGCTAAAGTGCATACAAAACCAGGCAACTTGGTCAAAGTGATGGAAAATGGTAAGTATATAGCATGTAATCAGAATTGTTGATGTATTGCTTGTCCTGCAGCTAGGAGCTCTGCTCTGATGTATGTTCAACTGTCCTAAATTAACCCATCTCACCAGTTTTAATCAAAACAAGACGAGCTAATTCCCTACCAACCTGCCCGCTCCCTCGGTTCATCAGGCTCCAGCCTACTCCATGCCTCCCGCCCTACCATGGGTGGCTGGGCTTTCAGCCTCTCTGCCCCCATTCTCGAACTCCATCCCTTTGCCTCGCTTCCTCCCTCGCATCCTTCAAGGCCGGTCTCTTCAAGACCCTTCTCTTCGACCGTGCCTTTAGTCTCCCTCCCATCTCTCTGCCTTCCCTCACCACTACACCACCTCTCCCCCATGCTCGTGCCCCGACAGCTGACTGTTCAGCGCTTTGGGACGTCCTCCCGATGTGAAAGGCGCTCTATAAATGTAATTTTGTTGTTGTAATTCTCTGACCTTTTTCAGTTCAGAACTAAAAAAGCCTATTGTCGTCCCAAAGTTAACAATAGTCGAGTTATTTTCCAAGTAGATACAATATCTAATTCCCTCTTGTATCTGATGATACAAATGACATTCTGGGACAATCTGTTCCATATATTCACCACTCTGAGCTTGAATCTATCTTGCCCTACCATTCTACTCACTTTTTGTTCTGTGAGTGAAGTGACAGCACAATTAGTCAAATTGTAACCTCTAATGTTAATAGTCACAGCTGTTAGGAATTGATACCTTCGCACTTTGCGTGAATATTATTGTCAATGATCGCTATATTTGAAAATAATCAAATACAAGAGTATTTCAAGTAATCTTGTGTTAATTCCTATTAGGGCATTGTTCAAATTGGAAGGCCTTCCCTGGAAAAGTGCATTCCTCTGAGTCTGGCTCTGATTCTGGTAGTTCGTCCGGCAGTGTGAGAGCAAGCCGAGGCAGCTGGGGAAGCTGGAGCAGCAGTAGTTCCGAGGGAGAAAAAGACCAAATCATGGCTACCAAATTGCACTTTGTAACCTCTGCTGGACAGAGTAAGTAACAAACCTGAACTGCACTACACTTTGTAAGCTGATCACCCCTATCCTCGCCCGGCTTCACTGGCTCCCCATCGAATTTTGTGAATCATCTTTTACAGATTGTATGAAGCCCTAGTCCTATACTGACCCATTACTGCACCAACTTGCTTTGTCACTTAATCTATTTTTAAAAAGGTTTCTACTGCAGCAAAAAGTATATTATATAGTACTTATCAATTTGGCTGGTTTGAGACTGTGAAGAAGGGCCTGTTTGTTCAGTGGACGGATTTGATACAAGCCTCCCAATTTATACGATCTTAATGTCCTTTGTTTAATTTGGTAAAACAGCCTTTGTGCACGTTGCAAGTCCCGTGAAGTGAACCTATGTATTGAAACTGACCATTGCGATATAATAAAGTTGAATATTTCATTAATATAAAAATAGAAAATATATGTGGATGTTCTGATTTTTTTTTCACAATCTTTGTTTTTGTTAGGGGAGCGAGTTTTCCATCAGGCTTGTCCAGTTTACGCTCAGCCATTTCTGTATCAAGATCCCAATTCGTGGAGCAGCAGGTAACTACAGATATCAAATCTCTTGTGTAACAAAATGCTTGTTGATCACAATCACTTGCAATTTTTATATTTGTTTTCTATCCTGCAGCAGACTGGTTCATCCCAGCCAATCAGCAGGGATTGATACATATTCAACATGCGATGAACAGCCTTCCTTGCTCCCAGATAGAAATACCTGCCCCACCTTTGCTGCAGTTGCTGCAGGTTTGAAGAAAAGTCCTGGTAAGTTGGTTAGAAATTGAGACTTGACCGTTGACGTGAAAGGTTTGGTATCGGTACGGATCTTGGAAACTCACTGTAAACTGTTACCATTTTTAAAAATCGGCATTTGAAAATAGTTTATTCCTCAAGGGAACTGTAGTTTAATTTTTACAATGGTATTAATAATCATCCGTACATTTGATACGCGTCTTTCACAGCGGGAAATCAAAGCACTTCGACAGTTTACCTAGGCTGTTGGTACAGGTCTGAAGTTTGTGAATACAAAATTGAACAAGCTTCAAAAAATAAGAGCAAGTTCTCTAACTCACAGAATTGTGGGTGTTATATATTCACAACAAAGAGCTAATGCAAGGTATTGCTGTTTAAAAATGAGCTAGATATATATCTGACGAGGAACCAAATCAAATGTTATATGTTACTTTTTATGAAAGATTTGTATTTGAGCTTTATGGTTGGACATTTTAACTTGTCGGCTCTTTCAGGAGCTTAAGTTTCTGTATTTTGGCAGGGTATTACTTTATAATGATATACATTTTTAAAAATCACAAATTATAATTAACATGATACACTTTTAATCTGTTTCCAGGGCTTTATACAACAACAAATGGAGAATGTTTAAAATCCATTCCTTCTGCAAATAGCTTGGAATATCACCCCGGAAATGGTATACAGATCAATCCTCAACAAAGTGCTGTTCCTGATTACAGGTGTGTTAGTTATATATGTGTGCGCGTGTATGCAGGTATCATATAGCTTTGTTTTATTGCTTTCTTCTTTCCAACATCGTTTTTTAATATGTTTCATTTTAGTTAATAACAAGAAAATGAAACTCAACTGTTTGGGGCATTTAACACCACTTTTGTCCTCCCCTGTCCTTAAAGTGCCAAATAAATGTAATTTTTTGTGGTATCCTGGATCAGATAGAATAAGTGGAAAATACAATATTAACAAGCTTTATTCATTTTTTGAAGGATTTTATTCCAGTCATGAATGTAAGTTCTCTTGCACTGATTTTCTGCATTGTGAATATGTGCAATATTTATCTAACTAAACCTAGTGAATAACTTGTGATGCATTTACTGGGGTGAATAGGTCATCAAATTACATTAGATTCATGTTTTGTGTTTTGAGCGTAATACAACTTCCTATTTCAGTAATTTTATTTGACCTCGCAATGATAATTGGTTTCAAATAGTTGAAGTTCTGTGACAGTAGTGCAAATTTTTTATATATGTATAATATATATAATACTCATAAAAGCAAGTATTTTTAAAAAAACAGTTACATTTAACAGTTGATCATTGCAAATATAATGTTGCACAGACACAATGGTTTGAAAGTTTTCTATGTTGAAATGATTTTGATGAAGATTACCTGTTAATTTTATCCAGTAAAGGTATGGTATTAATGATTGTTTTGCTGCTTTTCTGTAAATAAGAGATTTTGTAGATGGGTCTGAATAATTTAGTTTATACAGTGATGTTTGGTACAGTGCTATTATTATATGTCACCCCACTGGGCAATACTGTTTTCAGACATTTCTTTCTCACTGTAGTGGTGCTTAATGTGTGTTTTCTATAGATTTTGCTTGTGTATCTTTATATTCTGTGTAAAAATGGTATCCAGTCCATCCAATCCTGCAGCTGGCACTGTAATTTAGAAGATTGATTACCCCCCCACCCCGTGGAAATACTGGAAACACAGAATATTTCAAAATATAAATAGGAAAGGGAATTCTTCTATTATACTGTTGCTAACTGAAGTTTAAAAATCCTCATATCTTAATCTCCATCACAATCATTGTAACTTTTTCCCCCCCCCATACCCTCAGCTGTTTGCCTTGGGCCATGTTCACCAGTGACTATTGCATGTTCACCACATTCCAGGAAAATGATTTCTCCAGCGTTCCTGAAGGTAAGCACTGACATTTGCATTTAGTAAAAATTAATAATGCTTAAACATAATTTTCTAAGTTTAAAAATTAAAATTGAATTAAAAACTAGGTGTAGCCCTAGCCAGATGTGCAACGCACGCTCTTTCACGTTTGCATTTTTGATTCAGCTCTTTGGTAACTTCTCCCTGAAACTCAGCTGAAACCTAACTCAGCTCAGTTTTTGAAAAAAACAGTTTTGTACTAACTTGTGGCATTCTCATTGCTGCCAAACTGCAAATTATTTAGCTTTTCCCAGTGTTCCAATAAGAGATTGTTGCCATCAGATGGTTGGAGGTGGGTTGGGATGATTATTCTAGCAGCTGAATAGTAGTTATTGGAAATATCTAACTTCTGTATGTAATTTTTACAATGATGGATGTTCTCTGTGAGTGTCCGATGATCTAATATACTTCAAACTTGTAGGCTATCTAAGTATGCAGCATCCCTTTACTTGCTCTGAAGACCAAGCTGCAGCATTCCATGATGCAGCTCATACAATGACTTGGAATGTAAACACAACCTCGGAGGCGAGATGGAAACCTACTAATTATGTCAGCAGTCCCGTAAGTCATCTATCTGGCAAGGCAATAGTTTGGGATTTTTTTTGTGTGGAACAGTTGTGAAATGGACTGAGAATAATATCAAGCCAGACACTATTTGTCATGTCTTAGTGCATTCTGCAATTTTATTCCAAATAACCTTCAAGTATGATTTCACTTTACCAAGCATTAACTGGCTTATTTATCTGACTTTTTTTTAGTGTATCCAATTTTTCAAATAATTTTCCCACTGCATTTCTGCTCCTTGACTGGTCTTCTCTTGCTGGATGCACTTCAGTCGGTGCTTGTCGCCCTCCATTACCACTGCCCAAGTGACCTTTGTTCATGTTTCGACGAAACTAAAGACGTTGCAGCCAAGCCTGGCCTCTTCTTCCCCAGCTGCCACTTAAGCACAACCACAAGGGCCTAGGAACCCAGGCTTTCCTTCCCCCCCCCCACCCCCCCTGCCAATCCTGGGAAAGCCGGGGCAAATTTAGCCTCCTATATAGCCCTGGCTGAGGACAGTAAACTAAACACAAACCGGGATTTGAACCAGTGAGCCCCTGGTCTGTAGGCAGCAGGTTAAATATTCATTCCTTTAAGCTCAAATTGCGCTATTGTCAGTCTTGCTGAGATCCATGAGAATTGTTGATAAAATCACTACATTTGGGGATACAGTTTATCACATTTACCTATTAAATAACTTTTGTAGCTTTCAAAGTAGCACAATATTTACATTTCAAAAAATAGGCTTTATAATATAAATAACGATAATGAGAACACCACTATAAAACAGGTTTGTAGAAATCTGTTGATCACCAAGAGTTTGAATTCCTGTATAATATTACAGAAGGTTACTTTTTATTAGAAGTAGTATTCCCTCATCAAAATGTAAGCCTATCATTGAAATGATTGTGATTTGAATTGTAAAGATAGTGTTTTTTTTTCTCTAGCCCTACATCTCAGGCACGAGAAGCCTATCTCCCATGTCTGGACTGTTTGGATCTATTTGGACCCCACAAAGTGACCCTTACCAAAGCTACTTCACAATGGATAACTCTATCTCACACGCAGTGCTTAATGAAGATCCAGAATCTCCCTGTACCAAAGAGCAAGTGTCCACTTTTGATCCTTTTGGCACTTACATGAACTTGGACATTTGGAATTCTTCCTCTAATCGGAGTTGTAATTCTCAGCTCTCCAGTGACTCTGGTTATTACGGGGATGTTTAAATTAGGTTTTTGGTTTTTATAAGAAAAAGTGTGCATAGAGATGGTTACAGATTCTTTACAGAGTATTTAGGCGACCCAAATGTTTTTTATTTTTTTATTTTTTTCTGGTTCAAAAAAAAGTTTTGTACAACAAATGTTTTGCACTTAATACAAATTTTTTTTTACCCAAAATCTTTTTTGTTTTTCCTTCAATAAAGGATCACAGAAAAACAAAACCAGTTTGTGAACCTTTTTGCCTTTCAACACCATAAATGCGCTCTCAAATTGTGTACTTTTTTTCCACTTACACAACCAGCAATTGCTTTCTTCATAATGTTCTTAGTTGCTGCTTCACATTTTAAATGGGCAAAGTCATTACTGAAAATATTTGCAAAGATTTTCAGTGATATTTAAAAACACACAACAAATTGTTGAAGTTGCTTCAACTATTTGCCTCCAAATAATTACGAATTTTGTTTTAAAAGTTTACTTTAACACTGAAGGTATATGTCAAATGTTTTCTGCAGCAGAACATTTTCCCAACACACAATAAAACGCATCTAAAAGTTTTCAGAGCTAGACTATTCCAAGAATTGAACTTGCCCAGAAATTTATAAAGATTGTCTGAACCCATTCAAAGCAATTTGTTTCTACATACAGTCACAAATGTCATAAATGTATTTATTTTACATAACTGGAGAACAGCAGACAGGCCTGACAAAAAGAACTACGGTAGACTATGTTATTCTGAGTGCTTGGCTGCAAAATACAGTTCATGCTAATTCCTCAATAGATTTTAAGCCTTTAGCCCCAGTAATGGGTATTCTGATGATCATTCTCATTTGAGAACTTAGGTTGAAAACATCATTGTAAGAAATGGTGGACTCTGATAGAAGTGGAACACGCAAAATTACACACGCAAAATTACAATGAGAAGTTGAAATTTCTCCATAATAAAGCTGAATGGTATAGCTATCTTGTATGAAGGGCGCTATATAAAGGGTGGAGCCCTGAGCTGAATGGTTGAAGAACTCGGCTCACACACGGGAGACCTGGGTTTGATTCCCGGCAGGTCGAAATGTTGGGCAAGTTTCCTTACTCCACTCGCTCTGTTTACCTAGCAGTAAGGAGGAACCCAGTTATTAGTCGACTGGTGGATCACTTTTCCGGGGGTAATAATTGCTTTAAAAAAAATAATAGTCACTTCAATCCACGACGGTTTGTAGGACACTGCTGTGCGCAATTGGCTGCCGCGTTTTACCCACAAATATACAGTCAATTCACTTTACAGTATATTCTATGAAGTATTTTGAGACGTCTCGAAGATGTGATAAGGTGCTATATCAAATGCAAGGATTATTATATAAATGTAAGTGTAACTTTAAAAACAAGTCAGATGTCAGTGATGGAGTCATGCTGCTGAAATGTAATGTCCAGCAGCACAATAGGTCCTCCACATTGAGGTAATGTGTGTAAATATTGACCGATCAACCTCTGGAGGGAATCTGGATGCTGGTTTTTGGAGCCTGCTGGAATTTTTTTAATATAATGAGATACCTGTCACTTTTTTGCCACATTCACCCCACGTCATGGATCATAAAACTATCTGCTCATGACGAAACAGAGCGGAGTTTCATATCTGCTCCACGGGAGAAACTTCATAATCAGATGAACAGCCTTATCTGATGGGGCAGCCTCCAGAGCTTTTGACTGCAGAGCTCTTGACCAGGTTGCTCAGTATCCAAAAATCAGTGGAGACGATATAAAAATAATCATAATCCTTGGATTTGATGTCATTGAGACGTCTCCAAGCACTTCACATCGTTTTACGCAGCAGTCAATTTGTGTGCAGCAACATCCCACAAACAGCTATGAAGCAGTGACAATTTTTATTATTCTGAGGGATTGTTGTTTTATCGATGGCTTCCAACAAAGCCAGCAATTTGAAGGTTTGCAATAACAAATGAAACATCTTGTACACTAATGCAGTGATCACAAATTCAATCTGCTAGGTTTGAGCATTTCCCTATCTTCTCTAGGGTTGCTAGATTAGGAATCTCTGAGCTCACAGAGTGCCTCTCACTCTGCCAGTAGGTAGTGATAGGTTCACCCCGGATGTTGCGCTCTGAAAATGGCCTCTTTCATTTGCCCTTACCAGCAGTGATAATACCAACAGGAAGTGATGTTAGTTGTGGCCATTTTATCATAACAGTAGCCTAGTTGGTCCCCATGGTTCATGCTTATCTGCTCATGTGGCCCTGAAGGCCAAATGAGTTTGCCAGTTAGGAGGTTGAATTTGAGGCACACCACAAGAGGGAACTTCCACACTGAACATTGGTGAGAAACATAGTTTGAAGTTAGTCAAGGTACTTGATTTTGCTTTGTAATATTGGTGCTGAAGGTTTATGCTTGCAATCATAACACAAACCACTGATCTATAAGCATCTCCGTAGAGGCCCTATTGGATTTGCAGTGTTTCTGGGGACCTCTACCGCCAGCTGTCAGTATCAGTCCTGTTCCCTTCCAAACTCAAGTGTACTGTATCACAGTGTTGGCACAATTACGCTTGTGCAGGCTTGTTGTGTGACTAATAGAGCACCCAATAAATGTGGTTTATTTCTATATGGCTGCACACTTAAATCTTCTCTACCAGTGGGGAAAGAGGATCTGCTTCGTGCCTTGTAATGGGCTAGATTGTACACAATAAAAGTAATGTAGGAGTACAAACATGTTTGCAACAAAATAAAATCATTCTGCCAAGCCCATCTTGAAAATTCTGCAGGCGAAAGACCCAACAGTTAAGATTGTATTTCATTTTCTGCTTTTATTGAATTTATTTCCCTCAATCCTTTATATTCTGTCTGTATATACATATACATATATATATATATATATATATATATGGTCTGTCATCAGTAGTACTGCAGATTAACACCAGTTCCTATTTCCAAACACTGCTGCTACAGTTGCATAATTATTTGAAACCCAGACAATATTTTCTCATCTATAAAGTACTGAAGATTTTGTTTACTGATGTGCTCAAACAAAGCAATCTCTTATTCAGATGCTGGAAATCAGATCAACTTAATACCACATGCACTGAAGGAAATCACCCGAGATTTTCGTATATGAATAAAGGCTGTGGCGTCATTTTGATTGAGCAGGACTCGCTGCTAGTGTTACCACTTCAACATCGCTAATACGGAAAACTTTACGTTAGCCAAGAGTACACTGAAGAACCAACAAGGCATCTAGTTAAAACCTGGCATTTTGGTGACATTACTTCTTCAATCCCTCTTTTTTTTGTTCTGCCAAAATACTTGAATCCTTCGATTTAAAGCGTCACCCTTGAAAAAATTGGCAAACTATTTTTCTTACCAATTTAGAAAGTAAAGTATTTAGAAAGCCAAAGCAATATATATGTATATACAGACAGAATATAAAGGATTGAGTGAAATAAATTCAATAAAAGCAGAAAATGAAATACGATCGTAACTGTTGGGTCTTTTCGTCTGCAGGACCAACAGGAACTGAGTGGAAAGAATGCCAACCTCCTGTGTGCCCACTTCAGGTCCCGTCAATAAGCCAGGCTGCCTGGTCTGTCGTCAGCATTACTGCAGATCAACACCAGTTCCTATTTCCAAACACTGCTGCTACAGTTGCATAATTATTTGAAACCCAGACATATTTTCTCATCTACAAAGTACTGAAGATTTTTTTTACTGATATGCTCAAACAAACAAGCAAACAAACAAAATTACATTCGTATAATGCCTTTCATGTCGGGAGGACGTCTCAAGGCGCTAGACAATCAGCTTTTTGGAACCGAGCTGGGGGTCGGGATTAAAGGGATTGGGGGTGGGAGGGCAGGGGATGGTGGGCAGGGGTCTTGAGACGGATCATTGAGGCAAAAAGGGGCGATGCGGATGGACTGTGGGACAGAGTTACAGAGGACGGGGGCAGAGTGGCAAAAGGCCCGCCTGCCAATGGTGGGACAGACAAGGCGGGACGTGATGCAGGCCTGAGCCCGCTGAGCGGAGGGACTGTCTAGGTTGGTAGGGGGTTAGGAGGTTGCAGGGGTAGGGGGGAAGCAAAGCCATGCAGGGCTTTGAAAGTGAGAACCAGGATCTTGAATTGTATCCTCTGTGTGATGGGAAGTCAGTGTAGTTGGGCAAGGATGCGGGTGATAGGGTCGCGGAGCCTAGTGCGGGAGAGGACATGGGTTGTGGTGTGAGACAGTGGCAGAGCTGAGCGATGTTGTGGAGGTGGGGAAAGCGGAGCAGTCATGTCAGGGATGTGGGGTATGAAGGAGAGTTCAAGGTCCATGAAGGGAGATTCTGTCAGCGTCCGAGGGATGGCGATGCTGACGGCAGCCAAGAGGAGTGCCTCAGTCTTGTTGACATCCTATGTTTTCCTCACCTTTTAATGCTACTTTTAAGTTAAACCAGAAGATTTTCTGTTCTACTTCATCCTCAGGCCATTCCAAATAGGTTTTTGTGTTCATCAGTTTCCTAAGCTTACAGAATCGCTGAGGAATGGTTTCCTTTGGGATTGGCTCCAACAGAACAAGAATGGCGGTGTCATTATTCTCATCAAACAGACGGAAATGAGAATAGTCCAGCTCGTACTTGCACCACTCGCTTTGGACAAAGTGTTGAGACAAGACAAACAGGGTCTTTCTGCTCTTCTCAATGGACTCAATGATGTTGTCAATTATCCACTTCCCTGGGATGAAATCGCGCTTATGAAGACAGAGTGTCACTGGTGGATGGGTATTTTCTAATTCCCTCAGCAAGACGTTTTCCACCCACTCAGAATCCATCTCGCTGTAAGAAACAAATGCGTCGTAGAAAATATTATTATTCCTCACTTTCTTTGGCTTCCTTTTTGCCTGGAGCCACGCCCAGGTCATTTGGATGTACCAGATCCCGTGATACTTGTAGCACAATAGTCCCACAATAGCTATTGGCAAACACAAAGCCACACACGACAAGGTGACAGAGAGTGTTGTGTGACAGTCAAAGAAAGAGCGCTTGGTATTTTTCACAATCATTCGCTTGACAACTAAAGGTGAATCACAAATGTAGTTTTCCGGCCAGTTCAGCAGTTGTATTGAGTGGGTTAGGTATTTGTTTATATAGGTCAAGAATTCACAGGAACAGATGTAATGGTTCTTTCCAGCATCCAATGTTGTCAACTTATCGAATGTCGTGATTTCATCACTGGACATAGAGATGAGATTATTCCCACTGATCATCAGAATCTTCACGTTTGGTAGATAGCCACCGCCTGGTAAATACATCAGCTTGTTATTGGACACATTTAGTTCTCTGAGAGAAGGAAGGTGGGTAGTGAATGTCCTTATGTTATTGTTGCTTAAATCCAACACCTCGATATTTGGAGGGATGCACTGTGATATAGTACTTAATTGACTGCCTGAAAGGTTTAGAAATTGAAGAGTTTTTGACCATACACAAGAATCAACATCACTTAATGTATTCTGGCTTAAATCGAGGTGCGTCAGGTGGGTAATGTTAGATAAAATCGGGCTAATTTTCTTGAGAGAATGCAACTTATTCTTTCTCAGAATAAGGTACATCAGGGAAGACCAGGAGTTCTCACAAACCATTTCTTTCATCATTAAATCAGTGAGCAAATTCTCCCTTAAATCAAGATACTCCAATCTTTGAAAATGTTGGGATATACCACATGGCATCATGAACAAGTTCAAGTTTGTCAACCTAGCTGTTCTAACATGGGATATCAAGCCATGAAGGAACGAAAGATCAAAAAATAAATAAAACTGTTTTATGGATATATGTCTGATTGTCAGTGAAATAAGTGATTCACATGTCATATCTTTAACTTTGTGCCATTCTCCTCTTCCTGAAAATGCACAATTTTCTGCAACTAGTTCAGATATTCCACTGTCTCTTATATTTTTTAGTAAAACATATATTGTATTGTCACTCAGAGAACTATTTCTGAAGGTATATTTCTTCACTGATGAATTATTTGGCAATGAAAATAATTGAGTATCACTGGAACTCAGATATTCTAAGTCTCTCAGTTCAACATGGGTGGTGGCTGGTGCTAAATCCCAGATAATCCGTTGAACTAAGGACTGTTTTTTTTGGAATGGGTCATGTAAATTCATAGTGGCATGGCTTACATTTTGGAAAGAACTGAAACTTCTGTCTTCGTATGATTCTAATTTGTTTCCCAGTAAAATAAAGTCATCGAGATGTGAAATTCCTTCAAAGTCATCTTTCTTTAGATTAGACAAGAAAGCGTTTCCAACTTTTAACCACCGGAGGCTTTCCAGATGTGAGAAAAGTCTGCCTGGTCCCAGGTTTCTGTATTTATTCCCTGAAAGATCCAGGTGTTGTAATTTGGAAAGATGCAGAAACCAAGCTGGTGAGAGTTGGATCAAGGAGTTATTGGACAAATCAAGGTATTCTAGGACCACGTTGCTCTTAAATGCCTGGTCATCAATAGACTGTATTTCATTTGATTGTAGCATAAGTACTTTGAGTTTAATATGCTTAGTGAGATCAGTTTCCTTGATGTGCGTTATGAAGTTGTAGGAGAGGTTCAATCTTGAGACTTTCTCCAACACACGTGGAATAGTCACTAAGTTCATTGAAGAGCAGTTACAGAAGTTGCTGGAGTCACATTTTTGACAGCTGTCTGCCTCTGAGCGAGCAATGTCCAGGTAAACACATGCAGCAGCAAGCAGCGTCCACACACTGACACCTCTCATGGTTCTCATTCACACGTGTCTGAAATAGAAATATAAAACATTTAATTGCAATTGACAACTGGGGTCATAGAAAGCAACACTGTTAGTGAACTCTTTCAGAGAATTAAATGCCCTTGCTTGGGTTGATCCTCTTCATAACTTTCACACATTAGAATGAAAAAAGCACCCTTTTGACCTCCTCTCATCTCCTTACCTGTATATATTCTCAGAACAATCACCTCAGTTTGTGTTCCAAGGATCATGCTAATAAATTGCCAGTTAGTTTCTGGAATCGAACCTGACTCCCAAGTCTGGGGTAGAGTTGGTGGTATTCCTGTTTTGGTATCAAATCGGTGGCATGGCTTACATGATCCTCAACTGGATCAAATCAGCTCAGTAGCAAGTGCAAAAAGAATAGATGTCCTTAAGGTCAGTGGAGCACTGTAGCTCAGTGGTTAGAGCACTTGCCTCGCAAGCGAGAGAACCCGGTTTCGATTTCTGGACGGGTGAAAAGTTGGAAAAATTTCCTTTCCCGCACGTCTCTGTTTACCTAGTAGTAAAGTAGGACCCCGGTTGTTGGTCGATTGGCAAATCACTTTTCTGGGGGTAATAATTCTTCCAAAAAAAATTATAATCATTTTGTCACTCTTCTCCATGTTTGGACCGTGCTAGCAAGGTAATAGATGATAACTTGTGCCCATGTGGAACATCAGCCTGGTTCAGCTTGTGGTTCTCTTACTTTGCACTGACTATCTGTCTTGGTTAAACCTTCAGTCGCCAACCAGCGAGCGGAGGGATGGTCGCCAACCAGCGAGGGGCAGGGATGGTTGCCAGCCAGTGAGGGGCAGGGACGGTCGCCAGCCAGCAAGGGGCAGGTATAGTCGCTAGCCAGCGAGGGGCAGGTATAGTCGCTAGCCAGCGAGGGGCAGGTATAGTCGCTAGCCAGCGAGGGGCAGGTATAGTCGTTAGCCAGCGAGGGGCAGGTATAGTCGCTAGCCAGCGAGGGGCAGGGATGGTCGCCAGCCAACAAGGGGCAGGGATAGTTGCTAGCCAGCGAGGGCAGGGATGGTCGCCAGCCAGTGAGGGGCATGGATGGTCGCCAACCAGTGAGGGGCAGGGATAGTCGCTAGCCAGTGAGGGGCGGGGATGGTTGCCAGCCAGCAAGGGGCAGGGATGGTTACTAACTAGCGAGGGGCAGGGACGGTCGCCAACTAGCGAAGGGCAGGGACGGTCGCCAGCCAGCGAGGGGCAGGGCCTTGGAAACTCATGTAAACCGAGCGGGACTCACGGAAAGCAAGTCAGGCAGCGGCAGGGAGTCACAGGGCTGGTTTGGGATCGGGACTGGAGGCAGCCAGAGGGAGGATCGGAGTCCTGGGGATCTGGACCGGCGTTAGCCAGAGGCAGGGTCTGGCTGGTAGCTGTAGTGGACCCTGAGGTGTGGCAGGTGCCTCGGGGATCGAGCGGCGGCCATTGCCTGGTAAGGGGGAGCCGCCATTTTGGACTTTCAGATTTTCCCACCATTCTGCATTATGTCACTTTCGCCCGCCAGGTTTCAATCCCTGGTAGCAGCTACAGCATAGTTTATACCAGTGTCTCCCTCCCTCCCTTTGTCTGTCTCCCTCCCTCCCTCTCATCATGTAGCTCAGTGGTTAGAGGACTCACCTTGCAAGCGAGAGACCTGGGTTCAATTCCAGGCAGGTCAGGGCGAAACCTTGGCCAAGTTTCCTTACTCCACACAGAGCCTAATAATAATCCTTCCAGAACAAAAACAACAATAAATTGGTCAGTTTCAATCCACGACTGTTTGTGGGACATTGCTGTGCGCAATTGGCTGCCGCTTTTTGCCCACAAATATACAGTCAGTTCATGTTATAGCATTTTCTGTGAAGCGCTTTGAGACGTCTGGAAGAAATGGAAAGTGCTATATCACATGCAAGGATTATTAGTATTATTATCCTCTGTCTGTCTGTCTCCCTACCTCCCATCCTCTGTCTGTCTCCATCCCCTGTCCTTCCCCTCCAGGCTGCTCGTTGCTGACCACAATGAGCTTCCTGCCCCCTCTGCGCCACCTCTCGCCCCCACAGCCTCCTGCAGGCTGACAATGTCCCACTAATCCGCTGCCTCTCGTCTCAGCGTACGCATCTTGGCTGCCGCTTCCGACTCAAGCTGGCCCTCCCTCAAAATGTCCCACTCCCTGCAGCTCTCCCGCTCTGTCCTGCTATCTCTCCGCCCTCCCCGCCTTCTATCTCTGCTTGACCCCCCCCCCCCTCCCCACCCCACTGCCTCCCTCTGCTCCAGCCTGGGAATCCTCCGCCAGGCTCACCGTGGTACTCGGCGTTGGCACTGTCCAGCAGCAGCCACACCGACTGCCCATTCCCCACTGCCGTCGCAAGCCATCCCGGAGCCAGACCCCGGGGGCTAATCTTTTCTCCCTCATCCGCATCCGCACCCTCCCTGCCACTACCCCCTCCCATCCCACACATCCCCCTGCCAACTGTCCACTCCACAATGACCTTCAAAACGTCTGCTCCATCTGCAATAAGACCCTCGATGAGAACGTTGATATTATGGCCTTCACGGAAACCTGGATCACCCCAGGTGACAACTTCCCCCTCACCAAGGCCACACCACCTGGCCACACTTACCACCGTGCCCCACGCCCAACCGTCGTGGCAGTGGTGTGGCCCTCATATCCCGGGCGTCACTTGTCCTATCCCCCTACTCCACCGACTCATTCCCCTCTTTTGAACACCTTACCCTCTGCTATCCTTCCCATCTCTCACTAAAAATCCTCCTCATTTACCGCCTCCCAAATCCTCCCCCACCTTCATCTCCACCCTCTTTGCTTCTTCCCTTTGCTCTGCTCCGACCGCCTCATCATCCTAAGTGACTTCAACCTCCATTTTACCCCCTCTTGCTCCAACTCCTCAGACTTCTCTGCTCTCCTCTCCTCTCTCAACCTTTCCCTCCACATCCACTTTGCTACACATGTTCATGGCCACCCGCTAGATCTGGCGATCACCCGGGGCCTCAGTGTCTCGGATGTCACCATCACCGACAAGGCCATTTCATCTCCCTCAACTCCCATATCTCTCTCCCCAATGGCTCCAAACCTACCACCATCTTCTACCGCCCCTGGAAGAAGATCTCCCCGCAATCCCTCTCCGCTGCCCTGGAGTCCTCTGATCTCCTCCCCCTCTGGCCCACCTCCCGCACCAACCCATCCTCTGCATTTACTCTCCTCCACAGCACCCTCTCCACCACACTCGATGCCCTTGCCCCCTAACCTCCCAAACTGCCTCCTATTCCTGATCCTCACCCTGGTTCACCAGTCACCTCCGCTCGCTCAAGGGCCAGGTGTGGGCTGCCGACCACACTTAGCTCACATCCGGCCTAACGGTCCACCGCCACATCTGGCTGGACCTCACTAAGACCTACTACTCCGCTCTCGCCTCAGCCAAATCATCCTTCTATTCCAGGTGAATCCTGGAGGCAAAGGGCAGCCCCAGGCTCCTGTTCTTCATCACCAACCAGCTCCTCCCCCCCCCCCCGCCATGCCTCGCAGATTCTTTCCTCTGACTCTCATTGCGAGGAAATGCTGAACTTCCTCGAGTCCAAAATCGAGGGAATCCGCTCAGCTGCCACTGCCCTCCCAACTTCCACTCCCTCACTACCCCCACCCCACACTCCAACAACTACCTACTCCTCCTTCCACACCTTTGAACCTGTCACTCCCTCCTCTATCATCACCACCATATCCTCCATGAAGCCCACCACCTGCTCCCTGGACCCCATCCCCATCCCTCTCCTTAAATCCCAGCTCCACCTCCTTGCACCACTACTTGCCGACATCATCAACCTCTCTCTGTCATCTGTCCTACCCCCTCAAAACAGGCACTATCACCCCCACCTTGAAGAAACTTTTACTTGACCCAACACAACTATCTAGCTACCGACCCATCTCTAACCTCCCTTTTCTGTCCAAGGTCCTTCAGAGAGCTATTGCCTCCCAGCTTTGCTCCTTTCTCTCCTTCCACTCCCTCCATGAACCCTTCCAATCGGGATTCTGTGCTGCCCACAGAATGGAAACTGCTCTGGTCAAGGTCACAAACGACATCCTGACCTTGTATGACCAGGGCTCCCTCTGCCTCCTCCCACCTCAACCTCCAAGATTCTTGGCTTGACTGGTTCAGGTCCTACCTTTCACACCGCCTCCATTTCATCTCAGCTAACGGCTTCTCCTCCAGCCCCCACACCACCTTGTGCGATGTTCCTCAGGGCTCTGTCCTTGCTCCCCTCCTCTTCAACCTCTACATGCTCCCCCTTGGTGACCTCGGCAGACATGGGGTAAATTTCCATATGTATGTGGATGATACCCAGCTCTACCTCTCTGCCTCCACCCTGAACTCCAGGACTACTGGTGTCCTGACATCAAGTCCTGGAAGAGGGACAACTTTCTCCAGCTGAACGTCAGCAAGACTGAGGCCCTCATGATTGGCTTGCGCCAGCGCTTCCACACCTCAGTTGCTGGCAGCATCAGCCTCCACAGCTGCACACTCAACCTCACTAAGCCAGTCAGGAACCTCGGTATCTTGTTTGACCCTGAACTGTCCTTTCTCCCCCACATCCACGCCATGACCGGCACTGCCTACCACCACATCCGCAACATTGCCAGACTCCACCACTGCCTCATCCCTCAGGCTGCCGAAGCCCTCACCCACGCATTCGTCACCTCAAGACTCATTTATGGAAATTACCTCCTCATCGGCCTTTCCAACTTTTCACTTCCCCTGCAGGTCATCCAAAGCTCATGTACCCTTGCACACCAGGCTTCGTGACCCCATCATTCCCACCCGCGCCAGACTCCACTGGCTACCCAGCCCTCAGAGGATCGAATTCAAGATCCTCGTCCTCACTTTCAAGGCCATCCATGGCCTTGCCCCCTCCTACCTCTCTGACTTGCTGACTCCCTACCAACCTGCCCACTCCCTCCTTTCAAAGGGCTCCGGCCTGCTCCATGTCTCCCGCCCGACCCAC